CACCAACTTACAACATATACAAGAATGAACTCTAAATGAATAAAAGACTTAAATATGGGTTGTGAAACCATAAAAATCTTAGAAGAAACCATAGGCAGCAAAATCTCAGATATCTTTCACAGTAATATATTTGCTGATGTATCTCCTAGGGCAAAGAAAACTAAGGAGAAAATAAACAAGTGGGACTACATCAAAATAAAAAAAATCTGCACAGCAAAAGAAACCATCAAAATAACAAAGGAGTCTACTATAGGGAGGACATATTTGGCAATGACACATGTGATAAGGGGACATACAGATGTCCAAGAGAGCCCTGGCTGGTGTGGCTTGGTGGATAGAGCACTGGCATGCAGACTGAAGGGTCCCAGGTTCAATTTTGGCCAAGAGCACATGACTGGGTTGTGGGCTTGATCCCCAGTAGGGGGAGGGGAGGAGGTAGGAGGCAGCCAATCAATAATTCTTTCATCATTGATGTATCTATTTCTCTCCCCATCTCCCTTCCTCTCTGAAATCAATAAAAGTATGTGTAAAAAATAAAAATAAAAGTGATATATGAAAAACTGCTCAGTCACTAGTCATCAGAGAGATGAAAATTAAAGTGACAATAAGATACCATCTCACACCTGTCAGAATGGCTACCATCAACAAATCAACAAATGACAAGTGCTGGCGAGGATGTGGAGCAAAAGGAACACTCGTTCATGTACTGCTGGTGGGAATGCAGACTGGTGCAGCCACTATGGAAAACAGTACAGTGTTTCCTTAAAAAATAAAAAAATGTAACTGCCCCGGGTCTGGTGTGGCCAGGCCCAGAGCAGCCAGGTCGGGTGCAGCCAGGCCCGGAACAGCAGCTGCCAGGCTGGGAGCGGCCAGGTCCGGAGCAGCCGGGTCGGGTGCGACCAGGCCCGGAGCAGCAGCTGCCAGGATGGGAGCGGCTAGGCCCGGAGCAGCAGCAGCCAAGTCCAGAGCAACTAGGTCGGGAGGGGCAATGACCAGACCCGGAGCAGCTAGTTGTGGAACGAACCAGAGCAACAGAGGCCAGGCCCGGAGCAGCCAGGCCTGGAACAGCTCGCTCCTCGCCTGCCCCTGCCCCACGGCTGCCTCTCAGACATGGCTGGAAACTTTCGCGGGAACTTGAGGGTCTGCTGAATCAAGTGATGAAGGCTTAGATCTGGATGTGTTGAGTTAGTTTAGGGCTGGGGTGTTGATCTGTGAGTGCCTTGGGAGGGACCTGGATGAGACTAGTTGACCTATTTGGAAATGTCTTTTGTGTGAAGTGTATCATTGGGCATGTGGAGGTATTATTGATATGAGAAAATGCTAAGTAACTGATTTACTATCTGAAAAGGGATTTACTATCAGGGAAAGGGAGGGAAGAAGAGACTGAACATAAACTGTGCACCTATGGATGAGGACAATGGGGGATGGGGAGGGGGCAGAGGGTGGGATGGGAACCTGGTGGAGGGAGGAAGAAATGAGGAACCTTTGTAATAATATGAACAATAAAGATTGATTAAGAAAAAAATGTAACTGCCATTTGACCCAGTGATCGAACTTCTAGGAATATATCCTAAGAAACCTGAAACACCAATCAGAAAAAATGTATGCACCCCTATATTCATAGCAGCACTACTTACAATAGAAATGATCTGGAAACAGCCCAAATGCTCATCAGTAGATGAGTGGATAAAAAAGCTGTGGTACATGTATACCATGGAATACTATGCAGCTGTAACAGAAGACTCTCTTACCCTTTGAGACAGCATGGAGGGACCTGGGGAGTATAATGCTAAGCGAAATGAGCCAGTCAGAGAAAGACAAGTACCACATGATCTCACTTATATGTGGAATCTAAGTAACAAACAGATGAACAGAGAGAATCCAGGGACATGGAAGCATGGAACAGAATGCGGAATGTCAGAGGGAAAGCAGGGAGAGTGGGTGGGTGGGAGGTAAACAACCAAAGACCTTGTATGTATAATACATATGCATAACCCATGGACAAGGACAATGAGGTGGTGAAAGCCTGGGGCAGGACAATCAGGGGGTTAATGGGAGGGAGTGGACATAGGTAATACCTTCAACAATAAAATTTTTAAAAATTAAAAATAAATATTTTAAAAAGAAAAAAATATCCTTGAGTGAGGATTAACAACAACAAAAAAAGGCAGTCTTTACTGTTGAGAGCTGTCAATTGAAATGGAAAATTATTTTTTTTAAATATATTTTATTGATTTTCTTACAGAGAGGAAGAGAGAGGGATAGAGAGTTAGAAACATCAATGAGAGAGAATCATCGACCAGCTGCCTCTTGCACACCCCCCATTGGAGACATGCCCGCAGCCAAGGTACATGCCCTTGACCAGAATCGAACCCGGGACCTTTCAGTCCGCAGGCTGACGGTCTATCCACTGAGCCAAACCGGTTTCAGCTGAAATGGAAAATTATTATGAGAACTTGATTCAATCATACATTTTTATACTAAAACCATGGGAAGACATGGAGGTTCCTATCACTAGCATAAGTTTCACTGATCAGCCGGAGTCAGAGCCACTACTGGGTTCTCCGGGATCATTTAGCCCTTCCAGGTACTGCTTCCAGGTGTATCTGGTGGCTACAGCCCTCAGGGGAGCCCTTAGCATGGATGCTGAGAGAACTACTTCCTATTCTCTCTCTTCCCAGTGTCTGCCCCCCCTCATTACTCCTCCCCCCCACACACACACACACACCTACACACACCCCAGTTTTTAGACATTGAGTGGGAGTATCTGGGGGAAACTCAGCAGCTGAGAGAACCAACCAAGTAGACATCCAATGCCTTTTATCAAATGGCCAAATGCCTTTACTCCCCTTGGTTTGTTTCCATTAAATTCAGTAAATTAGCATTTTTTTTTCTCTCTCCTAACAAGTAACTTCTGAAAAGGCAAGCATATCATGAGTTACTTTTAATGAGTTTAACGTAATTGTTTTCCTATTAATGTGAGACTAGCCACATCTGAGTTCAATTTTTACTTTAAGAAACATGTATTAAGCACCTGCTAATGTGCCAGGCATACTAAGCGAGCCAAATAAAGATCATAAAGCCCTTCATGGCAGCACAGGTTGGCTTTTGCCACCACATGAGCATCCCTAATTGGAGGAGGGGTGGGGGTGTCAGGGGAAGAAAGACCTTGAACAGCAATAACAGAAATGATAATGCCATGAGAAACATTTTGAGAATGGTGTGCCAGCTTACAGCACGGCATTTAACTAGTCTGGGTTGAGAAGGAGTAAACCAAGTGGAGACTTGGGGGATGGGTTAATTTTAATCAGGTTAAGGTGGGGTGAGGCTGTCCCAGGCTCCAGCTCAGCGTGACTGTAGGGTGGGCAGTCTGGGCCTTTCCTGGAGGATCCTGCCAAGCCTGGTGACAACAGATTTTAAGCAGGGGAAATGCAGCGGCCCCTGTGGCTACAGTGAGAGAAGGAGGTGGATGGGGGATTTTGGAATTTTGGAATCTGTAGCAGGAATGCAGATAAGGGATGATGGAGGCTTAAACCAACTGGAGTCAAATGAAACTAGGGAGACTCAGAGATTCAGACATTCAAAGTTCTTTGAAGAGTGAACATCCACAGGACACAGTGAACTATTTGTAGGAAGATGAAGAGAAAGACTCTGGGTTTTTGCCTTGAATAGATGGTGGATAGATTGGATAGATGGTGGAGTCCTGTACTGAGGAGCAGGGTTGGGGGTAGAATGATGAGTTTACCAGTAATTCCAGGTATGTTGCTTTTGAGGTGCCTCAGGGACATCTGAGGGGTGACAGCTATTCAGAAACACTTGGATGTAGGGGAGAGATGATAATCTGACGTCACCGGCATCAGGATAGTAACCGCCTACCATGTGTGAAGAGTAAGAAATGCAGAGAGACACCCTACTACAAGAAGCAGGAGTCTGGCACTTAAGGGATGAGGTGAGGTGGTGGAAGCCACAGGCAAAGGAGACCATGGAGGACAGCCAGAAGGCAGGAGGTGAAAACATCACAGACTCAATGAAGATACAAACTAAAAAACAGCCAGGGATTTGGGGACCCAGAAGGCATCCACTGGCTACTTTAATGAGAGCATTTTTCAGGGCTGGGTGTTGGGTTTGGAATGGGTTAAAGAGTGAATGTGAGGTGAAGAAATGGGCACCGAAGTACGGGTGGCTTTTTCAAGAACCTGGACTATAAAAGAGATTAAGAGTGTGATCTTGCCCAGCCGGTGTGGCTCTAGAAGGTCACAGACCATGACTCAATTGCTGGCAAGGCACATGCCGGGGCTGTGGGCTCGATCCCCAGTGGAGGATGTGCAGGAGGCAGCTGAGGACTGTATTAAAGGGCTGCAGCATCAGGAAGGTTGAGTGCCACTGCTCTAAGGAGAGGAAGGGGGGGCCGGATGAAGACACACTTGGAGTTACAACGGTGACTGGATGGAGGTTTGGCTGTCGAAGGACAGGCAGCTCCGTGGGGATGATGACAGAAGCAACATGTAAGTGAACCAGATAGTCTCTGTCAGGTTAACCCTCTTGCCAAGACCAGACTTGCACCCAGGAAAAGGGAAAGAAATGTAAAAAGGGCGTGAGGCATGGATGGGATTGTAACAGCCCCACTTCTCTGTGATTAGGTAGGGCTTGTGCAAATAACTAATAATTTGAAGTTTTTAGAAATCCTATTTTGAAATCTCACTAAAGAGGCTTCACTCTTATAATGAAAGATAAATAAGAGGGAAAAGACAAGCCCAGGTGAGTAAGCTAGCAAGTTACTAAACACGGCTTGGGATTTAGCTTCGAACTCTGATCACACCTGCCATGGACTTGCCCTAAGATGTAGTAATGCTAATGTTATTAGTGCCATTATGAGAAGTGACCCATAAAAATGACGACATAGTTCACAGAAAACTAAGTTCACTTAAATTCAAAATAATAATTTTGACTGCATAAAGGCATTCATTTGATTTTTTAAAAATTTAAATCTCAATACCAACCTATATTTCTCTGAATCAGCATGCACTCCTTCTCCTTTGCAGAAAACTGGCTTCTGCTTGAAATGCCAAAGTCAAAGCAGTATTTATTCCTCCCCATGTCGAACAAAGTGCAATTGAACACTGTTCTCGTCTGCCCCAGAGTCAGTCTGTGTTCAGCCAGGCGGATGCTCTTCTCCCCGGGACGCCAGGGGGCCTCCTTGAAGACAGCGATCACGCCTTGGACGAAGATGCACGGCGGCGGCAGCACCGTCACCTCCACCCGGGACGCACACGTGAGTTCTGGCACCATCACCAACTTGTATCCGAATTTCTGGGCCAGGTCAATGGGTCCTACGGAGGTGATGACGGAGCCTCGGCCAGACAGCTTCAGCACCACAGTGACGTAGGCTTCGGGCCCCACGGGTGCACAGCCAAACTCAACCCACTGACTCTGAGAGAGTTCTGTCCTCTTGCTGCTTCTTATCTCCAGGGGCTGTTCCAGGCTGGTTCCTGCCTCGGGAAGACTGTTGGTGAAGACGACATCCACCACGACGCCAGGCTTGTCCACAGGGAACAGGCAGAGTGGCTCACTGGTGAAAAGGCCCACCTGGAAGGTGCCTTCCGCTGCTTTGGATGTCCTATTCAGATCAACCTGAAAGACGGGCCATTCCACCTTCAGAAAGGCACCTTTCTCCCACCAGGAGACTGGAGGGCTGCTGTCTGTCACTCCCTGGGTCATTGTGAACCAGTAGTCGCCAGCCTCCTTGAAGTAGAAGCATTCAAACTCAAGTGTCCCCTGGGACTGGTTGGTCAGGAGGTATTTGGTGGCCACAGTCTGATTGGTGTTCGCCTCCAGCAACAGCACAGATACATTCCTCAGGGTCCCGTTAGCGCCATCAAAATACTGGAAATCCACAGACACGGTGGCGTTGCTTAGCGCTACATGTCCTGGCTCTCCCAAGAAGAGATTCTCAGCTTCTCCGAGAACTGAAATGAAATGGCCAGAATGGGTTTTACAAAGGCATGGTTGAGCAGACTATGGGAGGCATCAAAGAAAAAAATCATTATAGACACAAGAGAAGTTTGAACTGAGGCAAGAATGACATAAAATGGTGCTTAGTGCTGATTCTGGGAGGTAGGCACTATACTGTTTCAATTTTAAAATGGCTCTGTTCCTTTATCTTCCTCTCTTATGGTTATATTTAAAATAAACAGTAATACTCTGAATTCATAACATTCAACAGTATAATGTGTCTGCAATGAAAATCTATAAAGAAAGAGTAACAATTTACAGTTCCCAAGATAAAAATCTAATACCTCACTTTTCTCGTTTTAATCATATTCTGGTGTTCAGGTATTTGGGGAAGATGGATTTACAGTAAAATCAGAGAAAGCTTGGTTTATTTATTTTCTAATGTGTTCTTATTGATTTTAGAGAGGAAAGGAGAGAGAGAATCTGAGAGAGAGAAACATAGATTGGTTGCCACCCATGCACACCCCAATTGGGACTGGACCCGCAACCTGGGCATGTGACCTTTCGGTGTATGGAATGGCACTCAGCCAACTGAGCCACACCTGCCAAGGCAGAGAAAGCCTGGTTTAAATGGTATAATAAACACTTCTCTAGGTTACTTAAAATTTCAAACCCTAAATATACTTCAAAGTTATTTTTCAGGTATTCAAGACAAGTATTTTGTTGGACATTTTCACTGTAAAGACACAACTGATCCTGGTTTATATGAGGCAGAAAATTTTGGACAAATAAGAAATGCTGACACGTTCTCCATGGGTCATCCAAGGAAAGAGTGAAAGTTTATGAAACAATTAGGTTTGTCCTTGGCAATTTTAATGACATTATAAAACTGCTATTGCCCCAGATAGGATGATTATCAGCCCACTGGTATTACTCTGTTAGGATCAATCATATATTTAAAAAAAAAAAAAAAAAAAAAAAGAACTAAAGACTGTAAAAAACATGGAATCTTTCTTTCTATTTTGAACCCTATCCAAATACTTCATCAAAGGAGACAGAATTTGGCAATGTAACAATTGGCTGGCCATGGCTAGGGTAAGAAACCATTCTAGGTTTAAGGAACTACAGTGCCATTATGAAAACCAATATGTGTAAATATGAATTCATTTATCTTACTATATATATTCATAAGTATATAATATATACATATTATATCATATATATGTCCAAAGGGTCTCAATGTGTTGTTTGGGCTGGTAGTCTTTAAATCTGCCCTTACATGTACTCAGTAAATGATTTTTATAATCAACACATGAATATATTGGTACATAGAAATTTTGTGGTTTTCTTTTAATTAGCTCAGCAATTCTTCCATTTCTTAAGATGGGGTGAAAGAAAAGATATAAAACTTGGATAGTTCTGAATGCTTGATCACCACTTGTTGAAAACCTTAGTAGGATAAAGTTGTGGGGGTTTTTTAATTTATTTAGTCAAAGTAGATGTTGAGGGCTACTTCCTTTCAGATGTAAACAATTCAAGGGTTAAGGTTCAAAAAGTGGCTGATTCTGGTGCAGCTTGTGTGGTAGTTCATAGCAGACCTGGTACCTTTTTGTGTATAGCTGGCTAAAAAGACTCCAGTGCCCACTGGATTAAGACTAAGAGGCATACACCATTAAAATACTATGAACAACTCTACTCCAACAAGCTGGACAACCTCAATGAAATGAACATATTCTTAGAAAAATATAAGCTTCTAAAATGCAATCAGGAAGAATCAAAAAACCTGAATAGGCCGATAACTACTGAAGAAACTGAAGCAGTACTAATCAAATAACTCCCAGCAAATAAAAGCCCTAGTCCAGACAGCTTTACAGGGGAATTCTACCAAACATTCAAAAAAGAACTAAAACCTATTGTTCTCAGACTATTCCAAAAAATTCAAGAGGAAGGCGTACTTCTAAGCTGTTTCTATGAGGCCAGCATTACCCTAATTCTGAAACTAGATAAAGACACTAAGAAAGGCCAATATCCTAGATGAACATAGATGCTAAAATCCTCAACAAAATTCTAGCAAACCAGATCCAGCATTACATTAGAAAGATTGTACACCATAACCAAGTGGAATTTATTCTGGGGATGGAAGGATGGTATAATATCTGCAAATCAATAAATGTAATACAGCACATAAACAAATTGAGAGACGAAAATCACATAATCATATCAATCAATGCAGAAAAAGCATTTGACAAAAATCTAACACCCTTTCTTGGAAAAAATTCTCAGCAATGTGGGACTAGAGGGATCATACCTCAATATAATAAAAGCCTGATATGACAAACTTATAGCCAACATCATACTCAATGGGAAAAAACTAAAACCATTTCCCCTAAGAACAGGAAAAAGACAGGGATGCCTACTTTCACCACTCCTGTTTAACATAGTACTAGAAATGCTACCCATAGCAATCAGACAAGAAAAAGAAATAAAAGGCATCAAAATTGGAAAATAAGCAGATGACATGATATTGTACATAGAAAACCCTAAAGAATCCATCAAAAAGCTACTAGAATTAATAAATGAATTTGGCAATTTAGCAGGGCACAAAATTAACACCCAGAAATATATAGCTTTTTTATATACCAATAATGAACTCACAAAAAGAGAAACTAAAAAACAATCCCACTTACTATTGCACCAAAAAAATTAAGATACCTATGAGTATACTTAATTAAGGAAGTAAAAGACCTGTACTTGCAAAACTACAGACATTACAAAAAGAGATAGAAGAAGACATAAACAAATGGAAGAACATACCATGTTCATGGATTGGTAGAATCAGCATCATTAAAATGTCCATACTACCCAAAGCAATTTATAGATTCAATGCAATTCCCATTAAAATACCAACAGCATATTTCACAGACCTAGAACAAACTCTCCAAAAATTCCTCTAGAATTAAAAAAAGAAATTTTTTAAAGACTCAGAGTAGCCACAGCAATCCTGGGAAAGAAGAACAAAGTTGTAGAAATCACAATACCATATATCAAGCTATATTACCAAGACACAGTTCTCAAAACTGTCTGGTACTGGCACAAGAACAGACATATAGACCAATGGAACAGAGCAGAGAACCCAGAAATAGATGCAAGCCATTATGCTCAATTAATATTTGACAAAGGAGACAGGAGCATAAAATGGAATCAAGGCAGTCTCTTCAATAAATGGTGCTGGGAACAGATACATGGGGGAAAAAATGAAACTAGACATCAACTTATACCATACACAAAAATATAATAAACTCAAAATGGTTAAAGGACTTAAATGAAAGATGGGAAGCCATAAAAATCTTAGGAGTCTCCTTAGGCAGCAAAATACCAAACATATGTTGTAGCAATATCTTTACTGATACAGGTCTTACAGCATTGGAAACTAAGGAGAAAATAAAACAAACAGGACTACATCAAGGCACGAATATACAATGGAGCAATGGAAGCTAAAGAGAAAATAAACAAATGGGACTACATCAAAATAAAAAGCTTTCTTACAGCAAAAAAGGACTACATCAAAATAAAAAGCTTCTGCACAGCATAAGAAACCATCAACAAAACAACAAGAAAGCCCACTGCATTCAAGAACATATTTGCCAATGCTAACTCAGATAAGGATTTAATCTCCAAATTTTACAGGGAATTCATACAACTTAACAAAAGAAAGATAAATAATCCAATCAAAAAATGGCCAAAAGACCTAGACACTTTTTGAATGAGAACATATAAAAAGCCAAGAGACTTTTTTGCTTTGGCTTTTTGAAAAAAGCCAAGCATGTTTTCATGCTCAAAGTCACTAATCATCCGAGAGACACAAATCAAAACGACAGTCTGGTACCATCTCACACCTGTCAGAATCTATCATCAAAAAATCAACAGAAAAGAGCTGGCAAGGATGTGGAGAAAAAAAGAACCCTCATGCACTGCTGGTGGGAATGCAGACTGGTGCAGCCACTGTGGAAAACAGTATGGAGATTCCTCAAACAATTAAAAATGGAACTCCGATTCAACCCAGTAACCCCACTTCTAGGAATATATCCCAAGAAACCAGAAAAACCAATCAGAGAGGACATATGTACCCCTATGTTTATAGCAGCACAATTTACCATAGCTAAGATTTGGAAACAGCCTAAGTGCCCATCTGCAGATGAGTGGATTAAAAAACTGTGGTACATCGATCCAAGTGGAGTACAGAAGCCCTCCTAGCTGAGACACTGATGATCCTCACAGCCAATTGGCTTGGAGATCAACGCTTCCCAGTGATACCAACAATAAGCAAGGCTTAACAACAAGACTGCACACACAGCCCACAAAGGGCTACACCAAGACTGTCCATAGCAGGTAACTGGGAAGGCTGTGCTACTGGGGTCTACCAGAACACCTAGCACACAAAGCTATTCCAACAAATCAGGGAAACAACTAAAATGCAGACAAGAGGAAGGACACAAAGGAAGGAGGTGGAGGAAAAGAAAAGATTGGACATTGAGTTCAAAATTACAGTTATAAGGTTATGCAACAATATCCTAAAAAAGGCTGATAAAATAAATGAGACCTATGAGGATATGAAAAGGGATCAACAAGGAATGAAGAAAACATTGTCTGAAATAAAAAATATCATACAAAGTCCTAAAAACAGACTGGAAAATCGCAAGAATCAAGACAAAGATTTAGAACACAAAGAGCCAGAGGACACTCCTCTGCAGAAGCAAGAAGATAAGAGAATCCAGAAAGTTGAAGATAGTGTAAGAAACCTCTGGGACAATTTTAAGCGAACCAACACCAGAAGAAGAGAGAGAGCAAGATACCGAAAGAATACTGGAAGAAATAGTGACAGAAAACTTCCCCCACCTGGGGAAAGAAATAGACTTACAAGTCCAGGAAGCCTGAAGAACCCCAAACAAAAGGAATCCAAGGAGGACCACACCAAGACACATCATAATTAAAATTCCAAGAGCAAAAGACAAAGAGAGAATATTAAAAGCAGCAAGAGAAAAGCAGGTAGTTACCTATAAAGGAGCACCCATACGATTGTCAGCTGATTTCTCAACAGAAACCATGCAGGCCAGACGGGAATGGCAAGAAATATTCAAGGTGATGAATAGCCAGAACCTACAGCCAAAAATATTCTACCCAGCAAAGCTATCACTCAGAATCGAAGGACAGATAAAGAGCTTCACAAATAAAAATAAAAAAACTAAAAGAGTTCATCACCGCCAAACCAGAATTATATGAATTGCTGAAGGGGGTTATTTAGGAAGAGGAAGAAGATAAAGATAAAAATTATGAACAAATACGTAACTATCAAGTGAATCTAAAAACCAAGGGAATTAAAAATTCTGATGAACAATATTAACTGGTGAATATAATAGAATCAGAGGTATGGAAGGGGAGTGGACTGACGATTCTCAGGGAAAAGGGGAGTGGGGGTGCGGGAAGAGACTGAACAAAAACTGTGCACCTATGGATGAGGACAATGGGGGATGGGGAAAGGACAGAAGGTGGGGTAGGAACCTGGTGGAGGGGAGAAATTGAGGGGGGGAAGAGGTACACATTTGTAATAATCTGAACAATAAAGATTTATATAAAAAAAAAACACAAAAAAAAAACTGTGGTACATCTATTCAATGGAATACTCTGCTGTTATTTTTTTTAAGAAGAACTTCTACCATTTGCAACAGCATGGATGGACCTGGAAAGCATTATGCTAAGCAAAATAAGCCAATCGGAGAAAGATAAATATCACATGATCTCACTCATATGTGGGAGAAAGATAAATATCACATAATCTCACTCATATGGATATAAGGAACAACATAAACTGATGAACAAAAACAGATCCAGAGACTACAAAAAACTGGACAGTCCAGCCTCAGAGAGAAGAAGAGATGGGGGGAGGTGGGGAAGTAAAATAAGAGATCAACCAAAGGACTTGTATGCATGCATATTAGCATAATAATGGACACGGACACTGGAGGCTTTCCTGGGGGGAGAGAGTGGCAGAAGGGGAGTGTTAAGGGAGGGGAGGGAGGAAGAGACATATGTAAAACTTTAAACAATAATAAAAAAAAGAGGCATACACCACTTAGTTAACAAATGAAAGCCTACTGTCAATGCCAGGGACTGTCACTGAGGCAAATCAAATTCTGATTTGATGGGCAACCAATCAATGAAAGAGACATACATGCCCCATTGGAAATAGAGAAAAAAGATACAATGGGTTCCAGCACAGTGCACTAAAGAGAGAGCTTAGTACTTTACAACTCTGGTTTTTCAGACAAGAATACCGTTTCATTTAGAAAACTACAATTTGTATGCCATCCTGACTACTACGGTATAGCTTTCTCTATGATTTCATTTCTTCTCTCCCCATTCCTTTATTGTATTTAAAGGACTGTTGTCTCAATATAAACATGGTGCTTAATAAAAACAACCTAGCCCTGGCCCGTTTGGCTCAGTGGATAGAGCAGACTAAAGGGTCATGGGCTTGATTCCGGTCAAGGGCACGTACTTCGGTTGCAGGCTGTATTCCTGGTACCTCTCTCTCACATCAGTGTTTCTTCCCCCTTCCCCCTTCCTTCCACTCTCTCTAAAAATCAATGTAAAAAATATCCTCAGCTGAGGATTTTAAAAAAAAACACCATCTTATTGGTAATGGTATATTTTGATCAACATTAGATAGAGAAGGGGAAATAAAAGCCTAGACCTATGAATACACCTGTTATTCCATTAGTAGCCTGTGCACTCAGCTTCTATGCTGTATGCTCTATTTTATCCTCATTCAATTTTTATTTTTATATTCCAGTAAGATGTTTTGTGCCCAACAATGATAAACATGGTTCTGGCTGAGTAGAGTATCATTCCGATACACAAAGGTTGGGAGTTTAAATCCCACTCAGGGAATCACACAAGAATCCACAATGAATGCATAAATAAGTGGGACAAATCTCTTTTTCCCTCTCTCTCTTAAAAATCAATCAATAAATTAATTAATTTAAAAAGACAATAACAAATATCCTTGCAGACTTTATTTAAATGGAAGATTTTATGTCTTTATTTATCACTATGGAAAAAGGACACTTATAAATTATTGTATGAGACTGTTACATACAGAGCAATCTGTTTTTAAGAAGGGATAAATAACTTTAAAAGAAATTAATCCCAGATTGGTTTTCTGTAAAAACTTGTTTAATTAAATATATTAAAAAAGAAATTACTGAGTAAGAAGATTCACTGGACAAAATGACCAGTATGAATTCTAGTCCATTTAACTGGCTGTGCCATTGATATTACACGAGCCAGGATTCTCCTTCTCTTGTATCATAATTTTTTTCATCAAAATGGAAACAACTTCTACTCTCACACCATCAACTGTTTAGATGTTTATGAAATATTTGGAAATCATCAAAACCAGCATTATTGAATCAACTGGTTCAGTAGTTGCATGTCTTAGAAATGAACTCAATATTTAATCGAAACAAGAAAACTAACATTAAACACCAACTGTATGTTCAACCATTCAAGGTGTTTCAAATTCTTGACTATTTTACCATAGCAACAACCCTATGAAGTCAATATTATTATTAAGGTTGAAAGAAATTTAAAATTTTACTAAATCCCTAGCTGGTTTGACTCAATGGGTAGAGCATCAGCTTAAGGATCCCAGGTTCAATTTCAGTCAAGGCATATGCCCGGAGCGTGATGCCCAATAGGGGGCATGCAAGAGGCAGCCAATCCATGATTCTCTCTCATCATTGGTGTTTCTATCTGTCTTCCCCTCTCTTCCTCTCTGTAATTAATAAAAATGTATCTTAAAAAAAACACAAAACTTTCCTAAGATATACAATTGGCAAAGATTGAAAATTCAAATTGGTTCCAATGATAATGTAGCAGCAACACTCTCTTGTCAAGTGCAATCTCACATCAAACCCAATGTATAAAACATCATGTAACAAGCTTGTTTCCAATTTGTTAAATTGAAAGTGAGTTTTTATTATCATTTTAAGATTTAAAAATATATTTAAAGTGAAGCTTGAATCCATAATTCAGAACCTTAAGAGAACCCAGGGTTACAAGGATCACAGTTTGAAAGGTACTGCATTATAAACCCTGCCCTGCCTCCTCATGCAGGTCCTCAACATCAGTCATTTACAAACTTGTCAATGATGTTTCTTCATCGGCTCTGATACATTAAGTACACTCACAATACTCACCACAGTCACAGAGCATCACCAGCAATAGATTTGAAAAGTCTTTCAAGATTTGTTTCATTCTGATCAGCAAAATCCCAGGTCTTCTTTGGTCTCCTCATGTCCTTTCTCACATCTAAACTGTGAATGTTGTGGGGGGTTTTTTGTTTTGTTTTGTTTTTCAAAAACACCTGCAATTAGAACCTCAGAAAAATGATCACATTCTTAAAACAGTAATTATGAAATTACAAAAACCATTCTAAGAAATCAAACTTCTTAGGTGATACTGAAAAGAAAATACAAGGGACACTCATTTTCGCTGGGGAAATGATATGCAATTATACACTTCCCTTTTGTTCCATTATAAATCACCTGTTAAGAATATTCAAGGTGCTCAATACCAAGATTATATTTGCAGAACATCTCTGTAGCGCATCTTTAAGTGGAGAATTTGTTATTATTTTCTTAACTTCATCAAAGCTAATAGCCAATCATTTTGTGGTTAATCCTCACCCAAAAGTATTTTTCCCATTGATTTTTAGACAGAGTGGAAGGGAGAGGGAGACAGAGAGAAACCTCGATATGAGAGCTACACATTGGTTGCTTCCCACATGTGACCAAGCCTACAACCAAGATATGTGCTCTTGACCAGAATCGAACCCTGGACCCTTCAATCTGCAGGTCGACACTTTATCTACCGAGCCAAACCAGCTAGGGCACCAGTCTTGATAATACATCATCACATATTTATCTGCTTGATATTTCACACTGATTTACTAGATTTTAATAAATTTATTAAATGTTCGTCAAACTTTCTTTTTGCATTCTGCTATGTAGAAAGGTGCTGCCTTGCTTCCACAAATGGGCATATTCTCTTCCTTGCACATTCGGGGTGTTATCGGAATTGCTTCATTTCTTAATGCCTAGGAGCTATACCAAAACCTTTTTTTAAAAAAGATGCCCAGAGTAGTCAATATAGTGTGAACTCCATGTGGCCCTGACTTCCCTTATTTAGGTCACTCTAAAGAAAAAACAGAGAAATAACAATTATTATCATCTGTCAGTCTTCTAATACTTGTTGCTGCTGTTACACCTCGGAGACAGATGATTTCATGCAGCAATCTTCCCAGACCACCTGGGAGAGCAGGAAAGACCTTGTTGGCCTGTGCTTCAGGATGATTTGTGGGAGGAGGCACTCACTTTAATATAAACAACTGTTAGACCACAGAATAAGATATTGGGCATTTAAGTGCCCCTTTTTTCATAGAATCTAGTAAAAGTGGGCCACTAAACATAACCAAATATATATTTACTTAATGTTCATATTCCCAATATCCAGATAATAATTTTAATAAATATATTTTATTCCAAATATAAGTATTCTTTCAAATAAGATAGAAAAATAATAGAATTACAGAGAATGATTGGAATAATAAAAAATTCAATAGAAAGAGAACTGATATGTGTCTATTAGCTTTCTTATAGAGGGAGTTGGTTGAACAAAGGAAATAGGTGCTGTACTTCCTTAAAGGAAAGCAGAGATTTAAAACATAATTACACAGATGATTAGGACTTCCTCCACCCCACCACCAAGAAAAGAGCATTCAATTTTGCTCAAATTAGGCACAGATTTGACCTTAATCCTTTTTTTGAACATGGACTCGGAAACTTGGGCAAAGACAGCAAGTGAGCATCATGTATGTCCCCTGCAAGCATAGGGCTTGGGGCAATTAAAAAGCCTCCTTTTAGTCAGCGATACTTAGTAACCAAAGTCAGGAGAAACAAGCATCCACAGCTCCCAAAGTTGAATGGTTTTTCCCAAATTGCTTGTCTCCCCGTTATAACTATTTTTTTTAAAAGAAGCTTCTAATTACAACTGGTTTTGTGATTATAACGCATTTTGCTCCTTAAGAAAATGACCAGTAAAACCTAGAATAGTGTAATAATCTATATTTAGAACTGAATAGAAATGTAATTAAAAATAAATCATCCTACCTGAAATCATGATACAGATTTTTTTGTATTCTCAAGCTTCTTAAAATAAACGCTAAAATTTTACCAGCTCAACCACTAATTTGAATACTTTAACAGAGCATCCCAAAACAGAATTAGTTGCTAGGGGAAAGCACTACATTAAAAAAAAAAAAAATGATAACCTTGCTTGCTCAATTTATCCCAGCGTGTTGTTCCCAATACAGTACTTGTTACTTACAATGTTTGACTTCAGAATCATTTTGAGAAAATAAGAACTTACGCATATTTTACACACATTTTAAAATACTTCTATATAGCATTCACAAATTCTAAATGTATCAACTACAGGGTAGGTAGAAGTTGTGACTATTCTCAACGGCTAATGGTTTCACGCCAAGCTCAGATTCCATGTTTTTGGTGGAACCAGCTAAAATAATCCCCACAGTGTCTTCATAGTCGCAGAAAAAGACAATGAATTGAAAAAGACAAAGACGATGCTAAAGGGCAGGAGACCGATGGCTTATTACAAATAAAAGGGGAAAAGACCCCCCAGCTGGTTTGGCTCAGTGGACAGAAAGCTGGATAAGGACAGAAGGGGCCGGTTAGATTCCAGGGCACATGCCAGGGTTGTGGGCTCCATCCCCAGTAGGGGGAGTGCAGGAGGCAACCAATTAACGATTCACTCCCATCATTGATATTTCTCTCTCTCTCTCCCTTCCTTCCTGAAATTCATAAAGATATATAAATAAATACATAAATAAAAGGGAAAACAAAAAAGAAGCAGTAAATTTGTCCCTCTGATAAACCCGCACATGTTTGTGTGTGCATACATCGAATAATAATATTTATTAGGAGGAAATCCCTAATCCAAAGCAGCTCGTGTAAACTGGCTTTACCCACCAGCACCTACGCAGTCCAGTGGGCTCTGCCTGGTCCCTCCCTCCCACCCTTTGGATGCAGCTTCCCCGGGAAGCGCCGTGCTCCCTGCATCCACCCAGCTTCCCACGGCCCGCAAGTCAAGTTGAAGCTTGCAAACACAGCCGGGCCTGTGAAGTCAGAGAAAGCTCTCTTAAAATGAGGACCGTTTTGAAAAGCCTATACCCCAAAAAGAGTTTCTTTGGGGGAAAAGAGCTGACATGTTCCCAAACGCTTAATCCCTCAGACGTATTCTTCAAGGGCCTCAACGGTGCGGGCGTACAGTCCACAGCCGGCTTCGGCCCCTCGCAGTGCCAGTGCCCGGCGCCCGGGCGCAGGGAGCCTGTCGCCGGGGCGGAGGCTGAGCACCTAGAAGCGGGTGCGTGAGGGACCGGCCCCGTCCGCCCCCCGTGCTTCCGGCCGCGGGAGGACTGAGGGATGGGGTCCGGGAGCGCCCGGGGCGCGGAAGGCTCTTACCTCGGGGCGGCGGGTCAGCGGCGCGCGGAGGCGAGGGGCGCGGGTCGGCAGCCTCGGGGCCGCGAGGTGGAGCGCGATGCAGCCCGCGCCCGCGACTGCGACCTGCCCGGCCCGGCGACCGCGGCCCCACCCGAGCCCGCCCCCGACGGCGCGGGGCGGCCCTCGGAGGGCGGAGGGCGGGGGCGGGGGCGGCGGGAGCGAGGCCCGCCCCGGGTCCAGGGCGGCGCATCCTCCGGCCCGCGCCCCGCCGGCCGCGGCGACAGGAACCCCCCAGGACGCGCGCGGGCCGCCCGGACGCAGCGGGCACACACCCCGCCCGCAGGTGGCACCCTAAGGGCAGCCAGCAGCCTCCTGACTTCACATGTGATCACCCTCTCCCGGGTCCTTTCTCCTAGGGGCGCACACGGTAAGCCATCGAAGGGACATGACTGGTGGGCTGTAAACATGGTTTCCCCAAATTCTTGGCTTCCCAAATGTTGTGGAAGAGTTTAAAAACAGTGCAAGTAAGTAAGGTGCAATTGGTTTTTCTTTCTCAGGAGCCAGCTTTGGTTATTGAATTAATTTTAAATTTACATTTTAAAAACTGACCTGCAGGATTAGAACTTTTTAAGAGGATTGAGTTCCATATTATTCAACAGCTGTGGGGTGTTTTGAGTACACTACGATGTGCAGCACCGCTTACCATTTGGTTTTCTTTGACAGACAAAACTAAGAGTAATAGAAATCACAGCATACTTGTGGCCTCGGGAAGCAGGTGATTGGAAAGAAGCGCCAAGAACTTTTTGTGATGACAGGTATATTCTACTGGCTGGGATGTGTGTTACTCGGATTTATCAAAACTTACTCAATTTAAGATCTGTGAATTTTGCCTCAATTTTTAAAATTCTTAAAATACAGCATTTGCTGGCCCTTGAATCCATCACGTAGTCTTTAAAAGGTAGCACAATTATCAAAGGTTGTCAGAGATACCAAATTTGCTAAGTACTTGTCAAATAACTAATTTTAGCAGTACTAATTAAATCCAAAGCTTAAAAAAAAAAGGGGGGGGGGGGCTTTAAGGCCATCATTTATTTTCACTCCCAGTAGAATTAACTAGTCCAATATCCATTTAACTCAATTGGGATTCCTTTTCAATCAACTACAAGCCAAGGTCCCTGGCATTTTCAGCTTTAAAAGCAAAAAGCTCAATGGAAAGACGGCCTTGGAGTGAGAGCTGAGATTACTATTCCCAGCCCTGCCTCTGTAACCTTGAGCAAATGACAAGGCCTCCTTTCCTCCACTGTAAAAGTCATACAGTATCAGTTCCATTTAAGTTTCTTGGTGACTGAGTGAAACATGTAGAAAGCACTTTGCATTAATCTTTCAGACACTCACCCTCCCTTAGAGGGGTGGAAGGACCTAAATCAAGAGGCAAATGGCTGAATCACTGTACTTGGTCATTTTTGCCTTAATTAGAATTCTTGCCAAACTATATTAATGCCTCTATTGGACAATTAAGATAGTTTAAGCTTTTCTAAAAGGCAACATAGCCCTGACCAGTGCAGCTTAGTGGTTAGTGTTGGCCCATGAACTGAAGGGTTGTGGGTTCAATTCCCAGACAAGAACACATACCTGGGTTGCAGGTTCAATCCCCCACCCTTGGTTGGGGCATGTTTGGGAGGCAACCAATTGATGTGTCTTTCTCACATTGATGTTTCTTTCTCTCTCCCCACTCCCTCCTTTCCACTCTTTCTAAAAATCAATGGAAAAAATATCCTCTGGTGAGGATTAACAAAAATAAAGAAGACAACACAGTCATGAAAGAAAAAAAAAGCTTTCAAAAGAACAATGGCATGGTCTTGTCAGGGATATGAACTAAAACAAACTGGCTATCAAGATATCTTCAATTCTCTTTCAGGGTCAGCAACTGCTCTAACAAACTTGTGCAAATTGTATAAAATTTATTCATTGTCTCATTAACATCAATTTATATGGAGAGGTCTTTTCTTGCCCTAGGTAATACTAAAAGGTTTAACAAGTTCATGATTATCAGGACACAAGGAAGTACACAATGACCCAATTTTCTGTGTAATAACTAGATCTTACATATGTGTTAACCTGACTTTTCTGGAGTGATCCAGCATCATGGATATGGTCCATATTATAAAATTTGAGTAAGACAGTGTGTCTCAGATAGGCTGAGAAGCCTCTTGGGGACTGGATAAAGGGAGAAGATTTAGGTTTGCAAGTCAACACATTATAATCCAAAAACCACAGTTCAGTTAATACTTTAACTAGGACAATACCATGTATAATTATTGGCTCAGACCAGTAGGAATTCAAAATAAGTGTTATATGACAGTCCTTAAAGAAACCCAATTTCTCTATTTTCTAATGGCATAATAGAGAATAATACAAAATATAGTCAAGTAAATATTCTTATGGAATTCAGAAATAGTAGAGTTGTGTACTGGAAACAAATTTTTTAAAATATATTTTATTGATTTTTTTACAGAGAGGAAGAGAGAGGGATAGTTAGAAACATCAATCAGAGAGAATCATCGATCAGCTGCCTCTTGCACATCCCTGACTGGGGATGTGCCCACAACCAAGGTACATGTCCTTGACCGGAATCGAACCCAGGACCTTTCAGTCCACAGGCCGATGCTCTATCCACTGAGCCAAACCGGTTTCGGCTGGAAACAAAATTTTTGAGAGCACATGGGATTGATTAATGAGAATGGGGAGGTGGGAGGGAGTGGGAAGAAGTAATAAAAGAAGTTTGGACAGACAAGGGGAATTCATCCCAGAACCAGGAAGGGGCACACCTCATGCTGTTCCCTTGACCTTCCACCCACTGGTCCTGTGAGCCCCGTTTACCAAGCTCGTCCTTTCCCACAGGCCTTTTCAGATTCTTCCATGAGAGCAAAGAGCTCCTCCACTGTCTTCCACCGCATGGCACCTGTGCCCTTCCGTGGCACGCACTCCATCCATCCTCAAGTAAGTTTGCTCACATCCATTTCCCCAAAGAGGCCACCCTCTTAAGGCCAAGAGCTCTATCTTACTCACTTTTTGTATCCCACCACCACCACCACCAGTGGCCCACAAAGTTCCCCACACCAGGTTGGTATGTATGAAAAAAATGTTTCCTTAATTGAATTGAATGGGAGATGAAGTAGGGTAAAGTGAAGCCAAATTTTAATAGGTAAATGCATCAGAGCTCATTCGTTCAATACATATTTACTGAGTACTTACTATGTGCCAGGCCCTGTTCTAGGCTCATGAACAAACCAGATAAAAATCTTTGCCCTTGTGGAACTAATATTCCAGATCTATCATAAGGGAAGGGATAAGCAATAAATATACATAAATTAAACCATACCTCGCAGAAAAAAAGGAGACAAACACATTTAACAGTTCAATTATTGGTGCTATAAAGGTCTACTGCTGATATGTAGTTTTTCTTATATATTGTACTTACCATATTCATAAAATATTCATACCCAGATATCACTACAGGGATTCTAATGTAAGACTATATGTAGAACTTTATTGGCATTTAAGAGATTTTCAAGGATCATTTTGAGCATGTTCAATTTCCTACTTAGGCACAGTCTTTAAAATCTAACCACCCAGTAAGCTGTGACTCTACTGCTCCAAGATGAAAACTCTGAGATTGTTGGGCAAAGGAGAATCATTTTAAGCAGATGAGTATGAGAATAATGACATGATGAATCCACATCTGGTCATATTAGTCTGATGACAGCAAACAAGATATAACGCATTCATATGAATACACCTGGTCAATCAATGGTGGAATTTACATCAAGAATTTTTTTTAAAAAGTTCATGAGCCATTTTCCATTCTTATAAAACAAACTAAAATAGTAAGAGCTTGAGGTAAAAAATAATTATAATCAACTCTTGATTACAAACCAGCTTATTCTGATTAAAGGTTTATGATTTTCATATATTTTCCCAAGTATTTAAAAGACACCAAGTTAAGAAAAATCATTTTTAATTTTGCAATAACTTTATATACATTAATATCACTCATTTAACACCAAAAACAATCTTTACTTATACAATGTAAAAAATTTTTGGACAGTATGTGACTAGAAATATTCCATTACCATAAAGCTACTAACAGATTAATGCTCCTAAGAGCAAAGTTAGGAAAGCAAAAACAGTAATTATACCAGTGATAAGCACCAAGACAGAACTTTTTTGCACTTAGGACCCGATTGGTTGTATTTAAACATAACCTCTACTAATAGAGGACCAAAATAACACCTCATTTGACAAAAAAAAGAAAAAGATAAAAAAATATATACTGAGGTATGAAAAATGTGAAGAATGCCCACGTTAAGAATAAAACAATGCTGCCCTGGCTGGTTTGCTCAGTGATTAAGAGCATCGGCCCCACACCAAAGGGTCATAGGTTCAATTCCCAGACTGCTCAGGGCACATATGGAAGAAAACCAATCAATGTCTCTATCTCTCGGTCTCTCCACCCATCCCCCTCAACCCTATTTCCCTTCTACTCTCTCTAAAAGAGAAAAAAAATCAATGGAAAAAAATATCTTCATATAAAGTTTAACAAAAAAAAATATTAACAGTGAAGGCAATTACATTTGGTTTGGTTTTGGGTTTTTTTGGCAAAATATATTCATATGTCACTTTACTGCCTCTTTAGTTCACTGTATACAACTCCGATGGCTCCATTTTTGTTAACGTGTTGTCACACTAATGTAAATAAGTAGGCTGAATTATGGGAGTTTGCTGTAATACATCCACAGCATTAGAGCTAGACCACAGTAGCTCAGTCTTAGCTGTGCAGCCCGAGAGGAGTGATGTACAGACAAGCTTACACAATGGCCTGAAAGACATTGAATTTCCCCCAAAACAAACCCGAGGCTGAGCAATGGAGGAACGAGGGGATCTTCATCACAATTTAGAATCAGTGACAGATTTGGAAAAAGAAAAGTAAGGAAGGATGCCTCAGGCACAACATTCCTGACACTGGAGGATCTGAAGCTGCAACAGCCACTTTTCTGGGAGGAATCGGACTGACTCTGGCTGCACTTAGAGGGATTCCTGGGTCTGCAGCCGAGGATCCCTGCGCCTGAAGCAGCCTCTGGCATGGCACTCACCTCACTGAGAATATCTGAGAGTGTGAGCCTGGGTATTGCTCCTCCTGGTCTCAATGGTTCCCTCAACACAAATACTATCCCCTCTGGATGCTTGGCCGAAAATCATCACTACCTTCCACTTCTGACTCAGCCTCAGAATGAGGGTCTCTGTGCCTGCTGGTCCTTGAGTTTGAGATAATCCCAGCACATCGTATGCTATAGAGCTGGAACATAGGAAGTCAGGGAGTGCACTTAACACTCAAGCAATCTAAACTCAGCACGATCCAGTTTTTGTTACCTCAGTAATACTTTTTAGCAGGAAAGTTACCATGTAAAGAAAAAATACTGCTAGAATATGATAGGCAGATTTTTAAAGTTCAGTGTGAAACTCCTTAAGGGAAAGAAAAGGAGGCATATTATTTTTCCACTTGTATGTTCCTGAGCCATCTACTTCCCAAATTCGTAATCATATCTCTGGGCATGTCTATACAGCTCTTTAATTCAGTTTCAAGATCCATAGCATTTTTTAAACAAAATGACATAGTTGCATTCTTTAAATGTCAGGCATGAAATCATCACTTAAAAAAACAACTAGTTAGATAATATATATGTGAGTCAGATACAATTCTCTCCTTTTTTAAGGTGCTTTATTGTCTGTGGAAGACACGTTACGACTGTTTCTAATAAAAGCCCCTAGAAGGAGCCTCCCACGGCATGCCGCAGTTTGGTATTTTGTTCCAATGTTGTCAGGTTCTTAAACTACACTGTCAGGTTATGAAAACCTCCCAGACTGAACAAAAACTTCACTTATTTTTAATTCAGTGAATTTTAGTCACACCAAAATAACGAACTAACCTGTCTAAACATGCAGCTTCTCTTTTCCTTCCCCCATGAACTAAACAGTTAGATTTGATGATCAGGTTAAACTCCACTATATTTCAAGTTAAACTATGAGGGTTCTATACAAGTGTAGCATGATTTTAAATTCACATTGGCATTCATTTTTCTGTATTTTCCTATATTCACCCTAAATCAACTTCCTATCCCATAATATTAGGAAGAAATTAAAAGGGTTTTACAGTTCCAGCATTTCTCAGTTTATCAGAGTTTACCCTTAGCTCAGTATCATACACCCTGTTCATGATGCAAGTACATGGATAAAAAGTATTTCAAATACAAAAAAAACCTTAGCTCTGTGTCATAAATAAATTTGGGTAAAACCGCAAGCCTTCCACTGAGTCGTCTCGGCAAAGATGGCCCATCTTCTCTGCAAGTAGCAACCTAGGAATCAAGGGAGAAAACCACAATCACCTGTCCATTCAGAAACACAAGTTGTGAAAAAGAGCAAGACCCTTACTTACCTTTCTTTAGCCAGCAGGACAGACATTCCCACAAGCTTGGCAAACTCTTCTGATGTTAGGGATCCCTTTTCTGAAACCTTATAGAAACACACAGCAAAATAAAATGTCATAATTTAGACCACCGAGGTACTAACCTAGAAAGAATTTCTACCAGCTATACTCAGGAAATAATTTACTGAATTTTCTACTAAAATCCAAAAAATATCCACTATAGAACTAAGTCTGCACTAATGTTTAATTCTACAAAAGCTGAAGGATCCAGACCAAAGAAAGTAGAGGCTAAAATATAAAACCCTCTAAAATATAATCAAGGCACTATACTAAAGTCTAAAAAAATTTCTGATATTCTGAAAAGGAACATATAACAAATTCTAATTGAATTCATATTACACAATCCAGTGAAGAACCTTCTTTATATATCAGTTTAGTTTTTTGTGGTTTTTTTTTAAATGTATTTTATTGATTTTTTTACAGAGACAAAGAGAGGGATAGAGAGCCAGAAACATCGATCAGCTGCCTTCTGCACCACCACCCCTCCCCCCCCACTGGGGATGTGCCCGCAACCAAGGTACATGCCCCCGACTGGAATCGAACCTGGGATCTTTCAGTCCGCAGGCTGATGCTCTATCCACTGAGCCAAACCGGTTTCAGCTTGGTTTAGTTTTAAATATGTGGTCAAAATACCTATAGTCTCAGGTATTTTCATGTAATTTATATTGAAAAGTATAATAAATATAAGCTATTCAAATTATACAGGCTCACCATAGAGACTATGAAGGTAGTAACAGGTCAAGTACCATGATGAGTAATAGCAGTCTGGCCATAAAATCCATCTAAACTACAGATGCTTTTTATATTTTTGAAACAATTATTTCATAAAACAACTTTTGATGTTTGTAATGCTACTTATGTAATTATTACGAAAAGTAAAAGTTCTATTGTGGATAACATTCTGAAAAACAAAGTTAAAAAACCTGTTCTTAAGATAGCTTCAAACAAAAAGAAAACACCTCATTAATTCTAATTCTCTTTTCCTGTAAGATGTTTTGAGCATTAGTACAATTCAAAAAAAGCTTTCAGAGAATAATTATGATTAATATTTATTCATTGTTAATGATAAACCATTTTTAACTGGGCCAACAAACACTACTTTTTAGTGAAGTTAAGTTCAAAAGGAAATCCTGTTTCTCAAGTTGCTAGACATTTGGGTCCTCACAGCAAGCCCTATGACCAGAGGAAACTAGGTTCACATACTGTCTCCAAGGCTGAGGCCACCATTTCCTCTTCCTTGTGGGACTGAAGCTCAATTACCATGACGCCACTGTCAAAAACTCGGAGCCTAAAACAGCAGGCGGGAGAACAAAGCTGTGAATATGTAGGATCTTCAACCACTAAGGAGGCACAATATTATTCACCTTCTTTTATGCCCAAGTATGAGGCAATATTAACACAAAACATCATTTGAAACTTAACAATCACAAGCAACCATGGCATAATTATAAAGCTCATGGATAAACTATAACCTACATAGATAAAAAAATATATACATATCTGGCTATTTTTTTCAATTTTTATTTTCCTATTATAGTTAACATTCAATATTATTTCATATTAGTTTCATATGCACAATGTAGTGATTAGAGAATTATATAATTTATGAAGTTATCACCTGATAATTCTAGTACCCACCTGGCACCATACATAGTTATTACAATGATATTCACTACGCAGTACATCTCTGGCCAATTTTTTTTAACCATGAAGATAAGGAAAATACAATTCTGAACATCTGTACTTCTGGGTCTCCAGAGACAAACACAGAAAGTCTAAGGGAAGAGGAGCTAGTTACTCTGACCTCATGGGAAGAGCCCCCATTCTTATCTCACTGCGCCAAACGACCGACCGGAGTTGGATTACTACCCCCTCAGGCCATGCACAGGATGGAAGCCAGGATGACGGAGGTGCTTGTGGTGCCAAGTGAATTCTGTTAACACAGAATTTCAAGAGGGGCAAAATGTTGGCTCACCCCACAGGATGGCAGACCTGGCAGGGCTTTCCTATCTAATTAGTGCAGATAGTTTCCTATCTATAGTTGGCAAACTTCCTGCAGAGATTCTTTTACCTGAGAGGTAATTTCAGAGCTTCCAGCATCTTGCATGCATTCACCAAATCTTCTGGTGAGAGCAACTAATGAGGAGAAAAAAATCCAGTTTACACTGCAAATTAATATAGTGATGCTATAAAATTATAACAACCACTAAAACAAGAGAAATTTTTAAAGTTATCATTTATCAAGAATTTTAGGTGGCTTAATCACTAGAAAGCAAAAATTAACAAAGTCTCAAAAACTTCTATTCATTAAAGCAGTGATAGTCAACAGAAGCAGAAGGTAAAGTCATTTATATAATTTTAAATTTTATAGTAGCCAAATTAAAAAAATTAAAACAGGTGAATTTAATTTTAACACATATATACCCAATAGATCAAAAATTCAGTATACAAAGTGAGGCAAAAGATTTGCAGTTGTTTATATGAAAAAATAATACAATAAATAATAATCCTATATAATAAAAGCCTAATATGTTAAGTATCCAATCAGAGAGTAATATGCTAATAATATGCTAAGGCTGCTCAACTGCTTGCTATGACGTGCACTGACCACCAGGGGCAGACAGTCGACCAATCAACCAGTCACTATGATGTGCACTGACCGCCAGGGGGCAGACACTCTGGTAGGTTACCTTACTGCTGGAGTCAGGCCAATTAAAACTGAGCGAGACTAGCTGCACACGTCCTGGAGTCCTCCCTAGCTGGCCAACCTCCTGCATCCCTCCCCGGCCCTGATTGTGTACCAGTGGGGTCCCTCAGCCTGGCCTGCACCCTCTCACAATCCAGGACCCCTCGGGGGATGTCAGAGAGCCAGTTTCGGCTTGATTCCACAGGCCAGGCTGAGGGACTCCACTGGTGCACGAATTCGTGCACCGGGCCTCTAGTACAAGAATAAACTGTGTTTTGCATATTCACAACTGGAAGCCTACTTCTGCCCCACCCTGTAAAATCGATACAAAAATTTCTAATCATATATTTAAGATTTCTTTATTTTGTACTGTCTTCTAAATGAGATGTGTAATTTACACTTATATCAATTTGGGTTCACTACATTTTAAGTTCACAGTCAACACATGTGGCTAGCTCGTCACTATCCTTCCAGACCGTGGAGCCGTGTGGTAGTTGACAAGCACAGCTTTAAGTCACATAGAACGGCTATGGAGCCAACCCAGCCTGGGTCCAAACCCCTATCAAATCAGTCTCTATGCCGAAACCGGTTTGGCTCAGTGGAAGAGCATTGGTCTTCCAGGTTTGATTCCGGTCAAGGGCATATACATTGGTTGCAGGCACATCCCTGGTAAGGGGTGTGCAGGAGGCAACTGGTTGATGTTTCTATAATAGCTCTCTATCCCTCTCCCTTCCTCTCTGTAAAAAATCAATAAAATATATATATTTTTAAAAATCAGTCTCCAGGTGCAACCTATGTAAAATTGTTTAATCTTTCTAAGCCTCAATTTCCTCAGCCCATGTTACTACCAGATTAGGATAGTAAAAGTAGCTGCCTCCCTGAGTTACTGGGAGGATAAATGAGGTAAAGTGCAGAGTGCCTGGTAGGTAGTAAATACCGTACTCACCAAATGGCAGTTATGACTATTCAAATAAAAAGAGCATAGGCTTAATTTGTGAGTCAGGGGTGAACACTGGAAAGACAGAGCAAACTGTTGACACCACAAAACTGTGTTTGACTGTGAAGGCATAAGGAGTGCACGGACAGAAGCTTGGAGGCCAAGGACATCTGGGTGTGAAGGGTCAATGAAAGTTGAATAGCCTCGGCTGATTCACAGCCAAAGGACATGGCAGCTTTCCCTGTCATGTACGGGCACTCTGTATCCACCCCAATTAATTCAGACAGCTAATTATCCCAGAGAAAGGGCATCATGGCCAACTTATTAATCACAACACAAGCAGACTATTAGAGCTGAAAGCTGTCAGTCAGTCCAAAGGGTAGAAAGGGTAGAAAAACTGAGTTTGAGAGGTTAAGTAAGCTGCTCAAGTTCATCAGCAAAACCGGGAACAGAATCTACCTCCTAGACCACAGCGTGGTTCTTTCACTGCACCACACTTTTTCTCAAAATAGTTTTGATAGTCACAACCCTTCCTCAAATTGTATTCATTGTAGGGAAATTTGTATTATATTAAGAAAGTCTATATTTAGATTTTTAAAAAGGCAATCTAAATATTGTATGCTTACTTCCATTCCTCGAGCTCGGTTTACTAAACAGTACACCTCCGTGAGTGACATTATACCCCCTCGTTCCTATTAAAATAAAATAATGAAAATTTTAAAAGTATTATGTTATAATTAGCACCATTTAGCATTTCTTAGAAATCATAATCAGAGTAAAACTGGAAATTATAAAACTTCTTAAGAAGCTTTTAAAAATACTATTTACACACAGGAGAACTTAGATACCACGAGACATTTAAATTCAATGGGTTTTAATGTCATTATTACTCTTTTCACATTTACTCAAATGAAAAAAGTCTCTCCACCATGTTTCAAAAGTGTTTAAGTTGTTCTAGCTAGTAAACAATGAAACTATAGAACTGAGTAAGAATATCTCTATTTTCTACTCCTATAATAATAAAAGCATAATATGCAAATCGACTGAACAGCTGAACTGCAGAATGACCACTCAGACGACCTTCCGGATGACCATGCTATGACACCCACTGGTGCCAGGCCAGCCAAGACAGTGCAATGCAATTGATTGGGGGCCCGGCCATCACCCCACGATCACCCTGCAGAGGGAGTTCCAGGCCACCAGTCCATAGGGCAATCAATCAATGGGGGAGGGGGGCTCCACAATCGCCCCAAAGAGGGAGGCCCAGGCCACCAACCAGCAGGCTATGGCAGGCAGGTGGGGCCTCCCTCTGAGGGGCAATCCATTGTGGAACCCCAGCCAGGTGGGCAATTGATGGTAGAGCCCAGTGATCAATCGACCCAAAGGGAGGCCCAGGCTACCTGGCGGCAGTGCTGTGGTGGGTGGGCAGGGCCTCCCTCTGCCAGGGCGATGGATCGCAGGGCTCCCGGACTGTGAGAGGGCACAGGCTGGGCTGAGGGAGCACCCCCAACTGCACGAATTACGTGCACCAGGCCTCTAGTGAAATAATAATGTAGATATGACTGTCAATGGCTGCTAACATCATAAAGAAAAGACAATCAGAAATGTACTTCCTGATGAAAATGCACAAACTTTATGAAATATTCTTATCAGAAAAAAAAACTTCTAGATATAACTACCAGATTATAGGAAACCATGTTAACATACAAGTCAGCAAAATCCAGACTGAAACACTCTATCAGATAAACTATTAATTACTCCAATCAATAAATTGGGAGGAGGGGTACAAAAAAGGAAAACCCATAGAATTAAAAAAAACTTGAGAGACAAATCAACCAATTTCAATGTGTTCTGATTTGAACAAACCAATTGTAAGAGAAAATGTGAAAAATAACTAGGTATTTAATAATGTTAAAAAGTTATTTTTAACTTATCAGGTGTAAAATGGGATTATAATTACATTTCAAGGTTTATTTATTATCATAATTACACACTGAAATATTTACAGATAAAAGTGCTGTGATGTCAGGGATTTGCTTCATAGTAATTTAGAGCGGAGGTTGGGCCGAAGCCAGTTTGGCTCAGTGGTAGAGCATCGGTCTGCGGACTGAAAGGTCCCAGGTTCAATTCCAGTCAAGGGCATGTACATTGATTGCGGGCACATCCCCGGTGGGGGGTGTGCAAGAGGCAGCTGGCCGATGTTTCTCTCTCATCGACGTTTCTAGCTCTCTATTTCTCTCTCTTCCTCTCTGTTAAAAATCAATAAAATATATTTTTAAAAAAATATTTCTTAGAGTGGAGGTTGGCTTACAGAAGAAGCTGGATGATGGGCACATAAGGATTCATTATACTAATCTATTTGTTCATGTTTGAAATATTTATTAATACAAGTGCTTTAATGATAAAGTTTTGATTGCCTGAATAATGTTAGACTAGAAGAGAAATCTTATAAAATTAATAGTACATATACAGGGTGGGGTAAAAGTAGGTAGCTGTATATGAAACAATTCTTCTTATACTATTATTTGTTAATTATTGTATTATTTTCCATACAAACTGTAAACCTTCTTTTGCCCCACCCTGTATATTGACTACTGATATATAAAAATAGCTAAATAATAGAAATCGTATATTTCCTTTTGAAAATAAGAGATAAAGAAAGCCCACTGTGTGGGAGAACATATATGAAAATGTTACCACTGATAAAGGTTTAATCTCCAACATCTACAGACAGCTTATGCAACTAAATAAAAGGAAGGTGAATGATCCAATTAAAAAATGGGCAATGGACCTAAATAGAATATTTTCAAAAGAAGACAGAAGGAAGGCCCAAAGGCACATGAAAACATGCTCAAAGTCACTAATTATCAGAGAGATGCAAATCAAAACATCAATGCGGTACCATCTCACACCTGTCAGAACGGCCAACATCAACAAATCAACAAACGACAAGTGTTGGCGAGGTTGTGGAGAAAAAGGAACCCTGGTGCACTGCTGGTGGGAATGCAGACTGGTGCAACCACTGTGGAGAACAGTGTGGAATTTCCTCAAAAAACTGAAAATGGAACCCCCATTTGACCCAGTAATCCCACTGCTAGGAATATATCCCAAGAAAATAGAATCATCAATCAGAAAGGATATATGCACCCCTATGTTCATAGCAGCACAATCTACAATAGCCAGAATTTGGAAACAGCCTAGGTGCCCGTCAGCAGATGACTGGATCAAAAACTATGGTACATCTACACAATGGAATACTATGCTGCCATAAAAAAAGAAGAAATTCTCATCATTTGCAGCAACCTGGATGGAATTGGAGAACATCATGCTGAATGAAATAAGCCAATCAATGAAAGAGAAACACCACATGACCTCACTCATTTATGGATAATAAAGAACATTATAAACTGATGAACCAAAAGATAGATATAGAGACAATAAAACAACAAGCAGATTGTCAAATTACAGCGGGGAGGGGAGGGAGATTTGGGGGAGATAACAGACCAACCGAAGGACTTGTATACATGCATATAAGTACAACCAATGGACATAGAACTCTGGGGAGGGAGGGTATGTATGGGAGGGAGAGGGGCAAAAAAAAAAAAAATCAATAAAATATATTTTAAAAAAAAGAAAGAAAATAAGAGATAAGAAAAACTTTATATCCACTAGATTTAGAAAGTTACAGATACCTTAAGTGAAAATTAAAAACAATTTAGAAGATTACTGACAAAGAATCCATTAATAAGTACAATAAACTAACTTAATATTCCTGAGGAAAAAAAATAACATGATGGTTAAACAGTAACCACATCATGAAAGGAGTTGTGCTCTTAAGATTTCTGATTACACAGAAATAATTTAACACACATTAAAAAGACCATTTAGGTTTTGTTTTTACCTCTAAAGGGGCCTGCAGTATTCCAGCCAGCTGTTTAGCCAGCTGCATGTGGTACTGTGTGCCTGAGCCATAGGTTTCCCTGGTAACTGGGTTAGCTATTCCCATGCTCAGCAAATAGGATTTAAACCTGATGGTCTGTAAGAGGAGAAAATACACAAAAAGACAATTCAGAATTATTCTCTCCCAACATTTGAAATCCTTCCATCATAAATTCAATTCTACTCAATTACTTATCATAGTTCCCTGCATAATTATAGTTATCCTTCCTTCTATCTTGCTATCTCATACTCCCTTTACTTCACAAATTTGGTGTGAGAGGTGATTTAAATAACCATACTATGGTTAATGCCAACCAAACAATACAACTGAGAACTTAGAAAAATGGCTTGTCTATTCGGTTTGGCTCAGTGGATAGAGCATCAGCCTATGGACTGAAAGGTCCCAGGTTCGATTCTGATCAAAGGCATATACCTTGGTTGTGGGCACATCACCAGTAGGGGGTATGCAGGAGACAGATGATCAATGTTTCTAACTCTCTCTCCCTCTCCCTTCCTCTCTGTAAAAAAATCAATAAAATATATTTTTAGCCAAAACCGGTTTGGCTCAGTGGACAGAACGTCAGCCTGCAGACTGAAAGGTAACAGGTTCGATTCCAGTCAAGGACATGTACCTTGGTTGCAGGCACATCCCCAGTGGGGTGTGTGCAGGAGGCAGCTGATTGATATTTCTCTCTCATTCATGTTTCTAACTTTCTATCCCTCTCTCTTCCTCCCTGTAAAAAATCAATAAAATATATATTAAAAATAAATATTTTTAAATGTTTTTAAGAAAAGAAAATTAATAATGGCTTAACCAGATTATAGACAAATTTCATGAAACAACATGAAACTTATTATATATACAATAGGCACTCCTTACATATTTCAATATATCTTATACACTGTAAGAAAAGCTACTGAAATATTCACCGAGAACGGTTTGGCTCAATGGATAGAGCGTCGGCTTGGGAACTGAAGGGTCCCGGGTTCGATTCCGGTCAAGGGCATGTACCTTGGTTGCGGGCATATCCCTAGTAGGGGGTGTGCAAGAGGCAGCAGATCGATGACTCTCTCTCATCGATGTTTCCAACTATCTTATCTCTCTCCCTTCCTCTCTGTACAAAATCAATAAAAATATATTAAAAAAAAAAAAAAAAAGAAAAAGAAAGAAAGAAAAGCTACTGAAATATTCTATAATCACACTAAAATTTTTATGGTTGACTTTTTTTTAGCACTTTCATGTGTCCTCAAGTTCTAAAAGAAATAAAACACTACATTAGAAAATCAATCTAATAAGCTACTGAAACATCACTGCATCATTTCTGTAGTTCCTCCTTTAAAAGCAGCCTGTTTACCTCATCTTCCGTGATGTCTCCTTGCTTGTCTTTAATCTTATTAGCAATTGACTTCGATAACTCCACCATTTCTTTAGCCTGTCAAGAGCACAGTAAAAGTGAAAAGAAATAACTGTCTCCCAAGAGTCTGCTAACAAAATATATTTTCAAAACTGTATCATAATTGGTGTGAATTACATAGGTATAAATGACATACCTTGACCATTAGCTTGCTGAGGTCTTCAAAGGCCTGAAATGAGAAATTAGTTTTGTTGGAATCTGTCTAAAGAATCAAAATGTTTTAAAGCAATGAAGCACTCTATTTTCTTTCCTATGATAAAAATATATACAATTTTCTTCAATTTTTATATAAATATTTATACAACTGATAAATCTACCTTATTCTAAATCAGATTAGCTAAGAAACCATAAATTTTCCTAAACTTGCAAAAACAACTTTTCAAATCTTCCCCAAATTGTTAAAGGGTGATTAAAAAACAAAGGGTGCTGAAACCGGTTTGGCTCAGTGGATAGAGCGTTCGTCTTCGGACTAAAGGGTCCCAGGTTCGATTCCGGACAAGGGCATGTACATTGGTTGTGGGCACATCCCCCATAGGGGGTGTGTAGGAGGCAGCTGGTCGATGTTTCTCTCTCATTGACATTTCTAGCTCTCTATCCCTCTCCCTTCCTCTCTGTGGAAAATCAATAAAATATAAAAAAACAAAAAACAAAGGGTGACATTAGTGATAGTTCAGAAAATATTATTAACTCTTCTTTAACACAAATAAAAAAATTTGTCACTAGCTTTTCCCAAAACCATTTCCTGATAAGAGGCATTGTGAAGCTTTCCTGGTTGAAAACGACAATATGCAGCTGCAGGAATACTTTGGGCACAACAATTTTGGCTTTAATAGCAGGTGTGATTTAAGTGAAACCATAAATCTCAGCCTCTGAATACTAAACATATTATATCTGTGATTTTGGACATAGTAAATATCACAAAAGTGAAACATTCAAATACCACAAAAACATATCTAAATTAAAAAATTTAATTGTTTAATTTACTACAATGAATATCCACTTCAAAGGTCTCTTCAAATTTAACCAGACATATTTATAACAAATGTTTCAAATTACCAAAAATATACTTCCAGTGTAGAATACTGTCTACAGTATTTTAAAAACCAATTAAGCAATATATCATTAGTTGAAAATCTTCTGGTTCACATAGAATAGTAATCAATAGGTTCTGATTAGCTCATTCCCATGTTAATTACTTGCAGGACAGCATCCCCCATCTGCAAAAGGACTTTGCTAAAATAAGTGTGTAGGATTCTTATGGCCAGTTCACTAAAGCTAATACCGAAAACAAAGGGGAATGTGCACACACCTAACAGGAATTTCCTCAGATAAACAAAAGGCTTAAACACTGGATTCTTATCAGCAACAGCCAGCAGATGCAGGAAACCTTCTGTGGGAAACTGTGGGCACCAGCTGAAACTCAGTCAATTCTAACGTTTAAATGGAGGGCAAATCACACACCAACCCCGTGTTCAAAAGTAAAACACACTAACACTTCACATACCTAGATTTTTATTTTGAATGTTAAAAGAAGTTTAAAGGAAACTAGGATGACAATACTTTTAAATTTTTATGGTAAATCTCTTTATTTATTATATTTTCTCTTAAAATGCTAAAATAGTGAGTGCACACAGTATATGTAGATTGGCCCTTATTTCTATGGTTCATAAAATACAAATATAAATATTTTATATTTATGGAAGAATTTCCTATGAAATTTCAATAATTATAAAACACAAACAAAAGCTTCCTCATTTGTATTTCTATTATTCTAAAATTTGAAATTAGCCAACTACCCCAAAAAATGGGTGGAGAAAATACCTACCATAAACTTAAGCAATATAGGTAAAAATGCAAAATAGATACACGTGTTCCTTCTATTTTTCCATCTCACAGTTTATAGAACCTACCATGTCCATATCAAATTTCCATTCCAATTTTGAAAAAATGTGGCATTTGCCTTAAAGCCTAAAGGTACCCTCTTAAGCCAATTTGTAGCATTACTTCTTACAGATTTTCAATCATTACTTTGGTTATTAGTTTCAGTAACTGCAATATATTCCTTAATTTTCTGTTTCAATATTCTTGATTCTGTACCCTTTCATATTCCATTCTCTCTACCTGGATCCTCTTATTCCTACTGATCATCTGCTAGCAGCTGCTCAACTTTCAGGCCTTAACTTACATTACTTCTGCTAACAAGCCTTCCCTAACTCCAACAGAAGAGGGCCTGTTATGTCTTCCTGTTGCAGCCACCATTTTCTTCTAACATGACATTTCTCACATGGTAGAGAAAGCCAGTCTGCCTTCCTACCTGGCACATTACTGCAATACCCACAACATCTGATGCAGAGCTCACACAGAGGAGAGACTAGGGACTATCTACTGAATAGCACATGCTTGCTACATACTCTGAGTAATGTAACTGTGAAAATTAGATTGAAACGGTAACATTTCATAAATTAAGAATAACAATATTTAAACACTAAAGCAGTATGGCAGCCTTCAGAAAAATGATCACTAATAATGCAAATTTAATTCAACGCTTGATGCCATCTCCAAAAGTGTCACACAAAAGAGATGACAATAAAAGTCACTGAAAAAGGACTTCTCATTGCCACTCAAAAGCGATAGCACCTTTTGGGTGGCAAAGAGAATGGCCATGATGTAGTGGACTACTCTTGCCTGCAAATCAAAAGACCTGAGTTCTCCTAACACTGGTTTCAAATCTAGTCACTAGCTCTGAAATGATCACTTCTCTGGTTAGTCAGAGCCCTCTACTGCAAAAATTCTGGAATTTATGGGAATAAAAGATTCCAGGAAGATGGTGGCTACAGCAGTATAGTTTTTTAATCTCTCCAATTCCCAACATAAAAACAGATAGGGCAACAATATTTCAAAACCACAGACAACATACACTACAAAACTAAGTGACAAGATATCCACAAAAACACCAAGAGCTACAAGACCTGCATCTAGATAGCAGAGAGAAAAGGAAGGCACTAGGGCAACTGATAGATCTAAAATAACAGAACTCCAAAAGATGCCGCAGCTGTCACTGGAAAGGGAGACGAGCCACCCAAGGACAGTCACACACTGGAAGGGCTTTGCCCCCTTCAATGCTGAGTGGTACCGAGGTCCTCAGGAATGGCTGACAGCCTATGAACTCAAGAAACTGGCCCTTCAGGCTTCCAAGACAGGATCCCACACTGGGGAGAAACGATTGAGAAAGGAATAAAAATTCAGCAAGGTAGGGATAACAGAGAGAAAGAGAAAAAAGGTTCAGATAAAAATAGGATGGAAACAGGGCCAGGAAATCACAGAAAGCAGCCACCAACTTTTTAACACTGTATGAACACAGCAGGAGAGTGAGCTCTGTGGAGAGAGAAAAGCTACCCTGAATTAGCTCTTGCTCTAAAAGTTCAGGAAAACAGCCAAAACCGGTTTGGCTCAATGATAGAGTGTCGTTCTACGAACTGAAAGGTCCTGGGTTCGATTCCGGTCAAGGGCATGTACCTTGGTTGCGGGCATATCCCCGGTGGGGGGTGTGCAAGAGGCAGCTGATCGATGACACTCTCTCATCGATGTTTCTAACTCTCTATTTCTCTCCCTTCCTCTCTGTACAAAATCAATAAATATATTTTAAAAAAAACAAAAACAAAACAAAACACATTTTGGCTAAATTTTGCCAACCTAAAGTGGACCTGTTAAATGGAATAAGATACTGTGTAGCTACAGGCAAACTAAATATTCCAATATACAGAATGGAATTAGTCGGTTTTATCCAAAAGAATAAACATAAATGGCTGGAAAAAGACAGATGACCGGAACTTCTGTAAGTTACCTCAGAAATGTTTTTGTCAGTTTCTTTTCTTTTTTCTTCCAGTTTCCTTTCGATGCCCACAATTCCTACAGCCCTTATTCTTCCTGGCTGAAAATCAAAAATAGAACGTAAAATATACAAAATAGGAAGGACACAATCTTTTGTAACCCACCACACTGTGTTTTCAATGACAGGAAAGGACCACAAAGAACCAAAGAAAAACAGCATACAACTACATCTATCATAGTTTCCTTTCAAAACATTGGTCAGTTTCTTGCCGTACATGACAATCTTCAAATCATTCTAAAGAAACACCGAAGATACAATAAATGGCATATTTTACTCTTCACTTCATACATAAATTAAATTTCCTATCCATTTTTGTTCTTTGGCAACCTATTATATAGGTATCAAATATTTAATAGGGTCTCAAAAAATAGTTAAAGTTTTGGTACTTGATAATTATTGTACAAACTGCTTTTACCGATATGAGCATCTGCCCACAGTTGGTGGTTAATTTAGACTGGCCTGGAATATGTCACCAGTAGTATTTATTGTCAGTTCTCTTAGATGCCACATGGATTTATGAACAACAGGATGAAGTCAGTGTAATCTAACTTCTACCACTCCAGGAATTACTCTGGTAATTAGTAATTAACTTGTACTAAGTGTTTACTGTCTAAGAGCACTAAGTTAGGTTCTAAGAAAATAAATTTTTAATCAAATATCATTATTTTGTTTCTGGAAAGTTCTATAATCACAGATATCTCATTACTTAATGAAGATGCAAGTACAGAGCTGAAAACACTAGATCAAGAAAGTTTTAAAAATACCTGTGGTCCTCTATTTGTTTGGAATGACTGGGAAACTGGCATGTTCTCCCATCTTCTCTGTGTCATTTCCTCTGATAAACGCCTGTAAAACTGTTATACACATAGATACACTTTAAATGAGTCATTCAGGTTGTGGCATCCTCATTGAATTAATTAACATTTCTTTAGTTGAAAGGTCTAGTCAATCATTTGCAACAAGCCTAGAATTCTCAGAGACATCAAAGAAAATCAAAGGAAGTTCTTTTCTTGGATCAACTTCAGAAAGAATAAAGAAAAAAAAAGAAGGAACCGACCCTCTATATAAAGCGAGCTATTTCAACAAAGAGATGAGTGACAATGAAATACTTACTTTAAACAATTCTGCCTATGTGGACTGTTTTCAACTTACAGTGAAACAGACACAGTGCCAAGAAAAATATACAACCATTATCCATGAAGAAAACTAAAAATAATTTGTCTAGTTAAAATGTGTAGTCAGAAATTGGAGCCAAAACGTGCATCTGCTCACAAAAAAATCAACTATATTTTGATTGACTTCAGTTAGTGACTTATATTTACTTAGTGCCTATTGTTGTGAAGAGCACTGGGTGTAAAGCCATTGAAAAAGGACATAAATAAGTTATTACATCAATGGGAAAATAAAAACACACTTACAAATGTCTAAAAATATTTATACAGCAACTTATTAATCAGAACAAATAAACTATATTCTAAAACTCATATGTAAGAACAAAGGGCTAATAATAACAGACAGGACACTAACAAAAAATAGAAGCAAAGTAGACTTATCCCTTTGAGATTTTAAGAGATTATTAATGTGGAGAAATTTAAAATCTCATAATTCTGAAGCTATAGGGACTATGACATTGTGCAATATGGTATTGGCACAGGAACAGAATAGCTCGGAAATGGAAAGGGACCAGTGCTTATATGTAAAAAAAGAACCACTCAAGTGATTAGATTTGTTGAAGTTAATAAACTGCCTTCAACCGGACTACAGATACCACTGAAAACTTTACTGGTAGCTAATGGCTGCTAGCCTCCACTCTTTCCTATGCCCACACACACCTGCTTCCTGTTCCCACTGTCACCTGAACTTCCTATTCTTTACTGATAAGACATAAGCTATCAAACATGATATAAACATGTGGTGAAACCTAGTATGTTGCTTACATCACATTAACAATATGGAAACAATACTGCCTTCCATCGTATTAGCAAACAACAAAAATATATGCAAGCACACATTTATGGCCCAATTGTATTCATATACTTACCTCAATCTGGCCATGTTCTTTGAAGGAGAGTTTAATGTAGGAGTTCTTACTGCTCTGTAATGGACCAAGCTCTTTGTTAGGAGGAGCTGGGTGAAGATGAACCACTATTTTAGCACTAAAGAAAAAGCAAATGTAATGTATTAAATTGCTTTTAAAAATCACTAATTCTATTTTTATAACTTTTAATATATTTCAGATCACTTAAAATTAACATAGAAACAAAGATTATCCTTTCAAGTTTGTATTAATTCAATCAGTATTAAGGAACCTTTCAAAAATATCTCTACTTAAAACTTGCAAGCTATGCGCAACAAAGTTAAAGTTATTAGATTTGTAAATTAAATATAATGTGGTTTCAGGAAATAAGTTCAAAATAAATTTGCAAAATTTGGGGAGGTTTATGATATTGGTTTATGATATGGTTGTCCATCTACAGAGTCATCCCCAGGGGTAACCTCAGGGCCTATAATTTCTGCCTAACCATAGTACCTTACTTATTTGAAAACAAAATATGAAAACTTATGTATGGAATCCTTCCCAGTGGTCATGGTCACAGCCAGTCCTTGCAGCAGATTGGCCTGAAGGATAAATCCCTCCCATTGATGTGCCAGCAGCAATCAAGGGTCAACTACAACAGGAGGATGCACACATCCCACCCGGCGTAGGGGACACAACGGGAGGGCCCAGCTCAAGAGAGCAGAGAGGCTGTGCCACTGGACCCTACAGGACACTCTACCAAGCCTCAGAGACACAGCAGCTCTACCTAATACCCAGAAACAAACACAGGGAGGACGCCAAAATGAGAAGACAAAGAAACATGTCCCAAGTGAAAGATCAGAAGAATTTTCCAGAAAAAGAACTAAAAGCAAGTAAAGTACCAGATACAGAGTTAAAGCAATGGTTATAAGGATGTTCAATAAATTTAGGGAAAGACTAGTTGAAATTATAGAGAACTTCAACAGCATAAAAAAGGGCATGGAAACCATAAAAAGAGTCGGTCAGAAATGAAAGATACTGTAATGAAGAATAATTTACAGGGACTCAATAGTAGAGTAGACAAAGCCAAGAATCAAATCAGCAATCTGGAATATAAGGATGCAAAAAACACCCGATCAGAAAAACAAAAAGAAAACAGAATCCAAACACATGATGATAGTGTAAGGAGCCTCTGGGACAACTTCAAGTATACCGACATTTATATCATGAGGGTGCCAGAAGGAGAAGAGAAAGAGCAAGAAATTGAAAACCTATTCGAAATTGTTAAAAATCGGGACTGGTCCTCTCCCAACTGCCCTCCCCTGCAGGCCATCCTGTGGCGGCCATCTTTGATCACATGGGGGTGGCTATCTTGTGTCTTGGAGTGATGGTTAATTTGTATATTGCTCTTTTTTTCCATATGGGCCCTAAAAATGGGCCCATATGGAAAACAAATTCCTCAATATCTGTTTATAAGTTGACCTCAATTACATACACTTAAACTCTAAAGCCAGAATTCTATGTCTATACTAATAAAAGGGTAATATGCTAATTAGACCAGACATCTTCTGGACATCCAATCGGACAAAGCCATGGTGGTGGGGGCCGAGGCAGAGGTTAAGGGCAACCAGGCCAGCAGGGGAAGGCAGTTGGAGGCAATCAGGCTGAAAGGGGAGGGCAGTTGGGACAATCAGGACGGCAGGAAAGGGCAGTTGGGGATGACCAGGCCAGTAGAGGAGGGCATTTGGGGGCAACCAGGCCAGGAGGGGAGGGCAGTTGGGGTGACCAGACTGGCAGGCAGAGTTGGTTAGAGGCAATCAGGCAGGCAGGGTGCAGTTAGGGGCACCAGGCACTCAGGCAGAGTGGTTAAGGGCAATCAGGCAGGCAGGCAGGTGAGCAGTTAGGTGCCAGTGGTCCCAGATTATGAGAGGGCACAGGCCAGGCTAAGGATCCCCCACACACTAGGCCACTAGTACTTGAATAAACAGAAACACTTTATCCTGTGGTTTTTACAAGGGAAGCCACCTCTCCTGATTTTCCTGGGACAGTCCCATTTTATGCTGATCTGGTCTAATTATAAACAGCACTCTAATTACTTATAAATGTCCCAATTTGGACAATAAATATTATGATACCGTAACACTGATATAATAAAAATATAAGTGAGAAACTTAGTGATCAACTAGAAATAGGAGCAAAGTCAGTTCCTTTCTTCATTTCTGATGTTAAGTACTAAGTAAGATACATAGACATTTAAAAGTAAATGTCTGTGGAAATATATACAATGACAACTGGGCCACATTTATTTATTATAACCCAAGGATATCATAGCAAACCTTAGTACTTGATTCATGCTTTAAGAATGACTTCCATTTATCAATGAGCTTAAGGTAGGATGATCAAAGACAATTATTTATCAAGCCCCCAAATACAATCATTAGATCCATGTCCCCATGTAGTCATGGCACAGCAGTAAATTAACTAAATTAATGATAATAGCTTGAATGGAAATGTATTTTGTGAATAAAAACTATAATTTATAGACCTTACCTTTTCCCAATTCCAGCCGCCTGTTCTTCAATGAACACAATTTGAGAAAGAGGAATAGCCATGCAGCATTCCTAGGAGGAAATCAATAGAAAATATGACTCATAAGACTAGTCAGAAATCCTTGTTTTATAGTATTTAATAGAATGTCAAATACCTTTAAGGTACTTAATAATAAAAACAATAAATAGTTATGTTACTTTATTCCTTAAATAAACGTAAGGAATAAATGCATTTTACTATGTGAAAAACATGAGATTTAAAAACAGCTATAACTACTTTTGTTTTTACAGTAGGTACATCTTTTAAAAAGTAATATTTATATGCAACTTTTTACATATACTATATTCTTTTTTTAAATATGTTTTTATTGATTCAAGAGAGGAAGGGATAGGGATAGAGTGATAGAAACACCCATGAGACAGACACATCATTGATCAGCTGTCTCCTGCACGCCCTCCACTGGGGATCGAGCCCACAACCCAGGCATGTATCCTGACTGGGAATCAGTGACTCTTGGTTCATGGGTTGATGCTCAATCACTGAGCCCCACCCGAGGCAGGCTATAATATATTCTTATATGGAAAACAAAAAATAGAACAGGTAAATCAAAACAACTCTAAAGAGTGTTATTCATTTTTCTTCCTTATAATTTCCTATGGTTCATTCACCCACCCAAAATTTTAAAGAGAAAATATTAATATAGCTTCCCTTTATTAATAAATTTAATTTTTAATTAATATAAATGAATGGCATTCAATGGCTGATTTAAGGATTTCTAAATTTGCCTCTTTATATGATAATTAAAAAATTATACTAAGATTAACTTATAAACATCTGGTTTTAAAGGCACCTATCCTTCCAAAAAAAATATTTTCTGAATGCATATTTCTTTTAAATTAGTTAGAAAACATTAACAATTCTAAGGCATGCATTATCAACAACAGAAATATCACCACTAAGAGGACAAAACTGGTTCTTGGGGACCAAAAAGAATCTTATATTCTGCAATGGTTAGTGACCTTTCAGAGTCTCAGTACAGTATACAGTTTACCTGTGGAATTAAAATTTTATGGGGAGACAGCAATTTTAAAAATAATGTAGAAGAGATTGTTTATTGTACTGGCAACGCTGAAATTTATTCATAAACACAAATACTTTCAAGTTCTTTGAATAAACACATCAGCTCTATACACATAACTTGTTCTCCCTTCCTAGAAATGAAGAAACAGGGGTTTCTCCTCTTGCTGAGTGACTTAGAGGCTTTTTCTCAATATCTGGGTAAAAGCATGCACTTCCCAACAGAACCATCCTCCTGATTCTCAACAGCAATCAGGAGGCTGGATTGTTTTGAGGATGAATGAAGTTTTTTAAGGATTCTGAAAAAAGTGCATTATTCCTGCTACACATGGAACATTCAGGTATGAGGTAGGATCTGACTGGTATTTTAAAAACAGGAGTCGTCATGATTCTCTATTCAGTAACTACAGACTTTTCTGGAGCTGAATGAGGGACAACATTATACCCCCTCTATGTGCACTCCATTCAGACAGATCGTAGGAGACACACACTCTAATAACATCCTGAAATTAAAAATTTGCCTCATCTATTTAAAGTTTTCAAGAAAGGAAGAAAAAGAACTTCAGTGATTTAAAACCTAGAACAGATGTAGGCGGGGCTGGTGCAGCCAGGCCCGGAGCAGCGGCTGCCAGGCTGGGAGCGGCCAGGCCCGGGGGAGCAGCCGGGTCGGGTGCGGCCAGGCCCGGAGCAGCGGCTGCCAGGCTAGGAGCGGCCAGGCCCGGGGAACAGCAGGGTCGGGTGCGGCCAGGCCCGGAGCAGCGGCTGCCAGGCTGGGAGCGGCCAGGCCCGGGGGAGCAGGCGGGTCGGGTGCGGCCAGGCCCGGAGCAGCGGCTGCCAGGCTGGGAGCGGCCAGGCCCGGAGCAGCAGCAGCCAAGTCCAGAGCAACTAGGTCGGGAGCGGCAGTGACCAGACCCGGAGCAGCTGGTTGTGGAATGAACCAGAGCAACAGAGGCCAGGCCCTGAGCAGCCAGGCCCAGAACAGCTCGCTCCTTGCCTGCCCCTGCCCCACGGCTGCTTCTCAGACATGGCTGGAAACTTTCGTGGGAACTTGAGGGTCTGCTGAATCAAGTGATGAAGGCTTAGATCTGGATGTGTTGAGTTAGTTTAGGACTGGGGTGTTGATCTGTGAGTGCCTTGGGTGGGGCCTGGATGAGGCTAGTGGACATATTGGGAATTGTCTTTTGTGTGAAGTGTATCATTGGGCATGTGGAGGTATTATTGATATGAGAAAATGCTAAGTAACTGATTTACTATCTGAAAAGGGATTTACTATTGGGGAAATTGAGGGAAGAAGAGACTGAACATAAACTGCACCTATGGATGAGGACAATGGGGGATGGGGAGGGGGCAGAGGGTGGGGTGGGAACCTGGTGGAGGGGGGAAGAAATGAGGAACCTTTGTAATAATATGAACAATAAAGATTGATTTAAAAAAATAAATAAATAAAAAATAAAAGTGTAAAAAATAAATAAATAAATAAATAAATAAATAAAACCTAGAACAGATGTAAAAAACTGTATCTTACATGATTTCTCTGATCTCTCCAAATTAGACGATGTGTACTGAGAAGGAGGGTCCCAGCATCAAATTTTATCTAGAAAGACAAGATCATCACAGAATATTAATATATATCACTCAAGGTGGTCCAGGTTTTCTTCCTCACAAATTTTACAATAGTAAGTTTTTCACATAAATATTTTAGAATTTGGTTTATCACAAATTAAAGAGAAGCAATACTACACAGTTTATAAGCTATATATACAGCCTTGCTAAAATTAGGAAAAATTTGCAAACAACTTTGATGTGCAACAATAAGGAAGTGGTTAAATCAACTATGAAATATTCATACTATGGACTCCATACAGAGGGTAAAAAGAATAATGAGGTAGAATTTCACAGACTGCCATGGAACTGTTAAGACATAGAGTTAATAGGTTAAAAAGCAATTTACAGCAAATTACAGCAGATGATAGATAGATAGATAGATAGATAGACAGACAGACAGACAGATAGACAGACATAATCTCCACATCTCTCAAACTATAGATATGTACATATAAGTAGTAGAAAAAGTTCTACAAGGAGTACTTGGTAGTCTATTAACAATGATTAACTTAGAAAAAGTATGAAGGAGTAGGGAGAAGCAAAAGGCCCTTTTATAAAACTTCACTATTGATTGAATTTTTTCATGAGATTGGATTCATGTATAACATTCATATAATCTTTAGAAATAATTTTTAAATACTAAGAAAATCCAGAAATAGACACAAACACAGATTCAACCAGTGACACTGCGACAAGTGAGTTGCCCAGTAGGAAAAAACAACAAACATAAAGTTGGATTTATACCTAACATACTGCACCAAAATAAGTTCAGGATGGATCAGATATCTGAGTTTAAAAAAAAAAATTATAAAAGCAATACCAAAAAATCATGAGAGAATTTTAAAAATAATCTCAGAGTAGAGAAGGTCTTTCTAAGAAAAACACTAAACTAATTAGCATTAGAGGAAAAGATCGATAAATTCAACTATACAAACATGTATGCACACAAATTCTTCATGGCAAAAAACCACCAAGGGCAAAGTTAGCAGACTGGGAAAAATAATTGTAACTTCTATCAGAGACGAAGGGCTAATTTCCTTAAAATATAAAATACAAGAGTACAGGCTAAGGCTATTAACAGGAAGTCCACAAAAAAGGAACTAAAAATAACACATTAATAGAATTTACCATATTTCATCAATTTTAAATGCACAACCCTTATACATACACGTTTTAATAAATATGCATCTTATAATCAATGGCATCTTAGAAACTTTAAAATACAGTAAGTACATAAAAATGCCCAACCTCATTGATAAGAAAAAGGCAAATTAAGGCAATATCAAGATACCCCTTTCATCATGAGATTGGTGGAGACCCAAAAGTTTGATAATATTGCGTTGGTGAATTGTTGGGGAAATAAGCATTTACACACATAGCTGGGAGGCTAACCTTCAAAGAGGGTAGTGTATTAATATGTGTCAAAAATACAAATACTTGTTTGGCTTAGTGGATAGAGCGTCGGCCTGCGGACTGAAAGGTCCCGGGTTCGATTCTGGTCAAGGGCATGTACCTTTGGCACATCCCCGGTGGGAGGTGTGTAGGAGGCAGCTGGTCGATGTTTCTCTCTCATCGATGTTTCTAGCTCTCTATCCCTCTCCCTTCCTCTCTGTAAAAAATCAATAAAATATAATTCTTAAAAAAAAATACAAATACCTATGTATTTCACATACAAATATCTATGTATGCACAGCTCTCTAGAATGTGCACTGGTGGCCTCTATTGGGGAACTGGATGCTGAAGTGTAGGAGGGAGACATTTACTTTATACTTGTGCGTTTTTAATTTTTATCATGGAAATTTTGTCATATACTCAAAATATAAATGTAAAAATGTTTTTTTAAAACTAGAATACAGAGCTTCTTGTCAAGATGGCAGAGCTACAAACACCATACTTGTACCTTCTCATAACCACATCAAAATCACAAATAAACTATAGAATAATCATCATTGATATCTGCCTGAAGTCTAGCTGAACAGAAGTTCTAAAGCTAAGGATATACAGAAGCAGCAGCATCCAGACTGGTAAGAAGGCTAGAGAGGCAGACAATGCTGGTCTCACACCCACGTATGTTGGCTAAAATTCAGAAGGGATATATGGCTGTGAGAGAGGGGGAGGTCCCCTGAAGAGCAAGGGGTCCCAGCCCATGGTTCCAGTGCTGGGAAAAGAAGTGCCCGCAACTTGTGTGAAAGCCAGCAGGGATTGTGGCTGAGTGGGATGAGGGCTGCTGGAGGCCCAGGAGTTCCTCTTAAAGGGCCCACACAGACTTACTCGCTGACTGACTCACTCTGAGCTGCAGCACTGGGTGGCAGCTTGAAAGATGCCAGGATGTATGGGGAGGAGGTGCATCATCTGGCTTCAGGGCAAGGGCTAGAGGGGCAGCTTTCTCCCAGACAAAAGTGCATGCGGAAAAGGCGTTGTTCCTTTGCTGAGCCCTCCCACTGTAGCACAGAAGGGTGCCTTATCTGAGTCTCCGTTAACCTGGCTAACACTGTTTCCCAGGCCTGGTGATTCCCTGAGATCCACCCAACTTTCAGGCCCTCCCAAGCATTTAACAAGCATGACCTGGCCTCACCATATCACAGACCTCTAGCTACAGTAACTAGTCCGAAACCCAGCACCAGGGGCAGCCAGCCTCAATTTGAAGCTTAGCATCTCCCAGGCACCTCCAAGCTCACCATAAGTGGCAATCATCTGCAAATCACTTTGTAGCTCATCAGGTGGTCCTGGGCAGGGCATGGGCAGCAGCTGACCTTGGCCTGCACCTCTTGGGAGGCCCCAGCGCAAGCACACCCAGGGGACAACTTCAGATCTCACCAGAGGACCATCCAACCACCTCCATGAGTGACTCAAGGGGCAGACTCGACAGGCACCAAAGCCCCACTGAAGAAAGTTCTGCTCCATGAAATCAGCCTCTGCACTATAGTTATGGCCGGTCCTTACAGCCTATCTGCCTGGGGGCCAATCCCTCCCAGTGATGTGTCAACAGCAATCAAGGCTCAACTACAACAGGAGGGTGCACAGAGACCAAATGGGGTGGTGAGAGGGGACTGTGTACCTGGAAACCCAGTGTGAGTGACTGGAGGCACTGAGCCACTGGGCCTACAGGACACTACTACACAGAGCAACTGCACCGAGACAGGGAGGGCTGGCAGCTGTACCGACGTAGAAAGAAACAGGACGGCAGGCAAAGGGAGAAGACAAACATGTCCCAAATGAAAGAACAAAACTTCACAAAACAAACTAAACAAATGAAGACATCAATCTACCAGATAAAGAGTTCAAAGAACTAGTTATAGGGTGCTCAGTGATCTCAGTGAGAACTTCAACAAAGAAATAGGAAACACAAAATGGAGTTAGAAAACATAAAGAACCAGTCAGAGAATACATTAAGAGGAAATCAACAGTAGATTAGATGAAGTAGAGGATCAAATCAGCAATATATATACCTAAGCGACCATTACAATCAGACGACCAGTCCCTATGATGCACACTGACCACCAAGGGGCAGACGCTCAATACAGGAGCTGCTGCTTGGTTGTCAGTGCTCTCCCACAGCCAAACTCCTGCGGTCTCCCCTGGGCTGGCCAGCCCTGATTAGGAATGGACAAGGCAGCCCCGATCAGCCCTGAACACCAGCCAAGCTGAGGGACCCCACCCACCCACAAATTCATGCACCAGGCCACTAATTTGTAAGATAAGATAGAAGAAAACACACAATCAAAACATTAAAAAAAAAAATCCAAAAAATAAGTACATCAAAGATACCAACATCCTCATCATGGGGATACCAGAAGGAGAAAAATGATCAAAAATAGGAATAATAAAATAGTAATAAAAAATATCTATCAAGAATTACTTTTGCCGAAGCCGTTTGGCTTAGTGGATAGAGCATCGGCCTGCGGACTGAAAGGTCCCAGATTTGATTCCGGTCAAGGGCATGTACCTTGGTTGTGGGCACATCTCCGGTAGGGGGTGTGCAAGAGGCAGCTGGTCAATGTTTCTCTCTCATCGACGTTTCTAGCTCTCTATCTTTCTCCCTTCCTCTCTGTTAAAAATCAATAAAATATATTTTTTAAATTACTTTAAATGTAAATTGATTAAATGCTCTGATCAAAAGATATACAGTGTCTCAATAGATAAAAACAAGACTCTTACATATGCTGCCTACAAGATACTTATTTCGATTTTTTTAAAAACGGACTGAAAGTAAAGGGAAAAGGAAAGAAGATATTTTATGAAAATGGAAATGAGAAAAAGAAAAAAGAAAAAGCTAGGGGAGCAATATTTTTACCAGACAAAATAGACTTTAAAACAAGAGACAAAAAGGACTCAGCAATTTCACTTCTTATCCAAAGAAGCCCAAAACACTAAATCAAAAGACATATGCATCCTCTCTCTTCCTCTCTGTAAAAAATCAATAAGATATTTTTTTAAAAAAACATATATATCCACATGTGCATTGCAGTATTATTTACAATAGCAAAGATATGGAAGCAACCTTAATGCCCATCAATAGATAAATGGATAAAGAAGTGGTGCATATATATAACAGAATATTATTCAGCCATAAAAAAAAATAAAAATGAAACCTTGCCATCTGCAACAACATGGGTGGACCCAGAGAGTATTATGATGATTAAAATAAGTCAGACAGAGAAAGGCAAATGTCATGATTCCACTAATATGTGGAATCTAAATAAATAAATAAACAAACAAACAAGCAAAACAAAAATAGACTCATAGATACAGAGAATATTTTTATGGCTGTCAGATGGGATGAGGGCAGAGGGGGGAGGGTAAAACAGAGAAATGCATTGCCCTGGCCGATATGGTTCAGTGATAGAGCTTTAGCCCACGCACCAAAGTATCTGGGTTGCAGGTTTGACCCCAGCCCTGGTCAGGGTTCATGGAGGAGACAACAGGTTGATATGTCTCTCACATCAATATTTCTCTCTCTCTCCTCTCTCCCTCGTATTCTCCCTCCCATTCACTCCCTCTAAAAATCAATGGAAAAAATAGGGTAAAGGGATTAAGAAGTACAAATCAGTACTTACAGAATAGTCATGGGACATAAAGTATAGCATAGGGAATTTCCTATCTATAGTAATAAAAGCATAATATGCAAATCAACCGAACGGCCTAACAGAACAACCATTGGGACACAGCCAAGGCTGTGAGGGCCGAGGCAGCTGGGCCTACACTTGCACAAATTTCATGCATAAGGCCTCTAGTTCTGTAAGATGTGCTATTTATCTTTCTCCGATTGGCTTATTTCGCTTAGCATAATGTTCTTCAGTTCCACCCATGTTGTTGCAAATGTTAAAAGTTCCTTCTTTTTTGCCGAAACCGGTTTGGCTCAGTGGTAGAGCGTTAGTCTGCGGACTGAAAGGTTCCAGGTTCGATTCCGGTCAAGGGCATGTTACATTGGTTGCGGGCACATCCCGGGTAGGGGGTGTGCAAGAGGCAGCTGGTCGATGTTTCTCTCTCATCGACGTTTCTAGCTCTCTATCTCTCTCCCTTCCTCTCTGTAAAATATTAATAAAATATATTTTTTAAAAAAAAAGTTCCTTCTTTTTTATAGCAGCATATTGTAGTATTCCATTATGTAGATGTACCACAGTTTTTAATCCACTCATCTGCTGATGGGCATTTAAGCTGTTTCCAAATCTTAGCTACTGTAAACTGTGCTGCTATGAACATAGCAGTGCATACATCCTTTCTGATTGGTGCTTCTATTTCTTGGCATATAGTCCTAGGAGTGGGATCACTGGCTCAAATGGGGGGAGGGGGGCGGGCACTTCGGGGTGGGGGGCGGGGCTCCGGGCGGGGAGGGCCCGGCTGAGGCGGGTAGGGAGGGGCCCCGGAGGGCAGGGGGAGCCGAGGGGGGGAGGGAAGGGTCCGGAGGGCAGGGGGGACGGGGGAGGGGGGGAGGCCCGCGCTCCCGCTCGCAGGCGCCGGAGCTGCTGAGGGGGAGAAGGAGCAGGAGTCCCGCCGGCAGAACCGCAGGGAGGAGCGGCCGGGCCGGGACTCGCAGCGGGGTTCCCTGGCTCGGCTCCGCTCACCCCCGGAGCGGAGGCTCCCGGAGGGAGGGGAAGCGGGCGGCAGAGGAAGTCCCCGCGGACCGCACTTTCCGACGCGCCCCTCCGTCGGCGAGGCCGCCCGGTCTGCGCGGGTAGAGGCCCGGCCGCCACGCCGCACCCCTGGCGCAACCGACGCCTGAGGCCCTCCCGGCAGTTTTCCGTTAAGGGCAGCTTTAGCTTGGGGCGACGGGACGAGACAGCGAGGCCTCTCTCCGAGCCTCTCAGGCCGGGGCGGCGCCGGGGGCGGCCCGCGGCGGAGCCAGGGCGCAGCGCGGGCGGGGCCGGCGCGGGGGAGGCCGCAGGCCGGCGGGCTGCGCGCCGAGGACGGGGAGGCCAGGCCCGCCGGGCCGCGCCGCCGCCCTACCTTCTCCTCGCCGTCGTAGATGCGCACCCCGCGCTGCTGGATGACCAGGGTCTCGTGGATCTCCAGCAGGCCGCTGGTCCACACGAAGCGGTCCATGCCGCCCGCCCGCGCCGCCGCTCCCGAGCTGGTGAGCGCCGGTGGCCTGCACCGCCCCCTGGCGGCGGGCGGGCGGGAGCGGCCAGCGCGAGCCCTGGGGAGTGCGCCGCCCGAGGGTCCCCAGGGACGGGTCGTGTGCCTGGAGCGCCCCCTGGCGGTCGTTCCGCCAATAGTCGGCGGGATCGTCCACTGGACCCCAACCTTTGTCCAGCTTCAGTGGAGCCCGGACCGCAGCTTGGACTTCCTTATTGTGCATTATTCCTGCATCCCAAATGAATATTTATGGCCTGAATTGTTTTTACACAGCTGGAATGGAAACAGAGGGTCCTGATTTAATGTGGGATTTTGATTTAATATGTAGCCCCAGCATTCTATTCAGTTTCTTTACAGCATGCCTTGTAAATGTTAAGCACTTACCTTAGTTATTAGCCCCCTGAGGCAGCAAGAACTGAAATATAGTGGCAACCATGCTTTGGTAAAAACTGCTGTTTGAATTTTAACCCTTCTATTTTGGCTCTTGCTCCTGATTAAACACGGGTGGGGGGGAGGGAATGCTATTCACCTTAACTTTCAGATGGATACTTGGAGGCTAAGGCAATTTTCCCTTGCCTGGGACCAGGAGCACAGGAGAGTAATTCCCACTAACTCAGTAACCTTCAGAGATAGAAACTTCAGATAACCTCTGAGCTCTGCTTCTATGTTATAAGCTATTCCAAGATAGGGCCACATTCCAATGTCCAGCAGGATGTGACTAGCAACGACCCTGCCGGCTGACCCCAGTCTTTAGAATGTAGTCTTTAGGATTTAGAATTTAGAACAAAGGAAAATTCCTGTGGTTTGAACCTTTAAAAGGGATTGCCTACCTCTGGAACCGTGCAGTCGTGGGGAGACCACCTGCGTGTGGTGCTCTCGCGTCTGTCCCGGCCAGATATTTCAATAAATTCTTTGCCTGCTTTTTAATTAATCATCAGCCTCTGGTGGTCTTATTCTGAACCCAGGATTCCACCCCACAACAAGAACAATGGGAATCCCTTGACTAATGGATGCAAGATAGAGGTTCATTGGGCTAAAGATAACATCATGATCTGAGTTGTATTTCTGCTCCTAAAGCTGAAGGACCAGCGAGCCACATCCTCATGAAACCAAACTGAAGGACACCAAAGGTGATCTCAAGACCTGAAATAAATGATTTACTGTCTTAAAATGTTTCTTCAGTTGCAGATACTCAATATTATTTGATATTACTTTCAGGAATATAGCATAGTGGTTAGACATTCATATAATTTATGAAGTGATCCCATTGGTAAGTCTGATATCCACCTGTAGCCATAATAGCTGTTACAATATTGTTGACTATTTTCCCTATGCTGTACTTTACATCCCCGTAACTGTTTTGTAACTGTATACCTGTACTTCTTAATGCCTTCAAGTTTTTTACTCGGACCCCTGCCCCCCTCTTTTATCTGGCAACCATCAGTTTGCTCTCTGTCAAACAGTGAAAGATAAATACCAGATGATTTCACTTACATGTGGAATTTAACAAATAGAGTAATGCTGGCTTCATAGAAAGAGCTTGGACATGTGCCTCCCTCTTGAATTTTTTGGAATAGTCTGAGGAGGATAGGTTTTAGTTCTTTGAATGCTTGGTAGAACTCCCCTGTAAAGCCTTCCAGACCTGAGATGGGCCTCTTGTAGACAGCATATATTTGAGTCATGTTTTCTAATTCATTTAGTCACCCTATATCTTTTAACTAGAGCATTTAATCCATTTACATTTAAAGTTATTATTGACAGGTATTTATGTATTGCCTTTTTTAATTTTATTTATGTCTATGATTTTCTCTCTCCTTTTATTCTTCCTCTTAACAGCAGTCCCTTTAACATTTCCTGCATTTTTAGTTTGGTGGTAATGTACTTCTTTAACCGTTTTTTTTGTTTGTTTGTTTGTTTGTTTTATCTGGAAAGATTTTTCAATCTGCAGACCGACGCTCTCTCCACTGAGCCAAACCGGCTTTGGCTTATCTGGAAAGATTTTTATTTCACCGTCAATTTAAAATGATAGCCTTGGTGGATTCAGTAGTCTTGAATTTAGGCTCTTGCTTTTATTACTTTCAGTATTTCATGCCACTCCCTTATGACCTGAAGTGTTTCAATTGAGAAGTCAGCTGATATTCTAATGGGGTCTCCTTTGTAGGTAATTTTCTGTCTCCCACTTGCTGCTCTTAGGATTCTTTCTTTGTCTTTAATGTTTGCTATTTTAATTATGATGTGTCTAAGTGTGAGTCTCTTTGAGTTCATCTTGTTTGGGACTCTGTGCCACCTGAATTTGTGTGCCTTTTTTTCACCAGATCAGCCAAGTTTTCTGTCATTATTTCTTTAAACAGGTTCTCTGATCCTTGCTCACCCTATTCCCCTTCTTGTATTCCTATAATGTGGATGTGTCTTGTTTCATAGTATCTCAGAGCACCCTTAAGCTATCTTCCTGCTTTTTAATTTTTTTTTCTACTTGCTGTTCTAATTGGCTATTTATTTCTACCTCATCTTCCAAATTGCTGATTCAATCCTCTGCTTCATCCAGTCTACTTTTAATACCTTCCAGTGTGTTCTTGATGTCAGATATATTATTCTTCATTTCTGTCTGGTTCTTATTCATGGCCTCTATTTCCCTTTTCATAATGTTGCAATTTGTACTAAGTTCCTTAAGCATCTTTATAACCATTGCTTCTATAACTACTCTATGTCTGATATGTTGCTTGCCTCCATTTCATTTATTTCTTCCTCTGGAGATTCCTTCTGTTCTCTAATTAGTGGGTTGTTTCTTTTTCTCCCCATTTTAGCTGTCTCTCTGTATTAGATAGAACTGTTATGCCTCCCAGTCTTTGTGGGATGGCCTTATGTAGAAGGTGTATTGAGGGATCCAGTGATGCAGTCGCTTTGTTCACCTGAGCTGGATGCTCTAGGAATGCCCCTTGTATTATTTGGGCTCTTCTGTTGCAATTTGGACTTGATTATTGATTTCTGGTTTGTGGGAGGGACCCTCTGTCTTACTTGCTGCCAATGAGGTTCAACCCCAAGGTCATCATGCCAGCTATTATACAGGTGCCTTGAATCCATTATTTTTCTCTGAATCTGAGAAAAATTCAATAAGCCCCACAAATAACAGACCCAAAGCACCTGTATAACTGGTGTGTCTCCTGGAAGTTCCTCTAGTGAAGGTGAATATGAGTCACTCTTTCTGGCTCTGGGAAACTTGATTGAAGTGCAAGCAATTGAAGCCCCTCATCTTCCAGTGGTTGAGAACATCTTAGCCCAGAGGCTGGGTCTGCCTTGAGTCATGTCTTTATTGTCCTTATTTGAGCTGTACTCCCTTCCCCCATGGAGCTTGACCTGCAAGTGTCAGCTGTGAGTATCAGCTGCAGGTGCTTGGGTTCTGCTGGCTTTTGCCTCACTGCACCATCTGGGGAAATACCTGCAGCAGGGACCAAAACACTGTTTCCTACTAATTGGATCAGGCAAAGACTCAAAGCCTCCAAAGGCCTGCCTCTGCCTATAGACTGATTGGATTCAGTCTTGAACCGCTTCAAGTAATTGTCCAAAGGTGGGGTAAGAAGTTTTCCAACAGGGTGGGGCAGTTGCTTCTGCCTGGAGGCTAATTGTTATTCTCAGTCTCTTAACAGCCCTCAGAAACTCCACAGGGTGGGGCAAGGGGTTTTCCAATAGGATGGGGCAACTGTCTTCCTCTCAGGCAAAAATAGCCTGGATAGCAGACCTCTGCCTGAGAAAGATGACCACTACAGCATGAGGGAATGACTCAACACAGGAAACTGAGGTATCTGCCTTCCAACCACTAACTCCAGAACTCCCAACCCTGGTTTATGCTTACACAACTCCAGTCCATTCTGCCCTCCCTCTGCTGGAGCCCAAGGTGAGTGGCTGCACTCAAAATTTTGTGCATTGGCCCTTTAAGAGGGTGAATGCATTTCTGTTTCTCTCTTTCAGACAGCAACCATACTGCTTTTCGCAGCCCACTGTTATGTGGGCAACTTTCTCAGTTCTGGTGCTTTCTGCTGGTGGACCCAGCTTGGATATTAGACCCCAGAGTTCTCAGTGGCAACTCCCCACAGCTGAGATACATCTCTGGAACTTCAGGTGCGGTCTGTGGAAGCCCTTTCACACTCTGCCCTTCCTACATGTCTCTATGTGGTCTCCACTTTTAATCCTTGGTTATCAGGCTTCTCTCCATCTATTCTTCAGTTGATTATTCAGGGTGTGTTTCTTTGCATTTTACTTGTAATTCCAGTTTGATCATGGGAGCATGTCTATGTTGCATCCACTTACTCTGCCGCCATTTTTAATCCATTCCTTCTACTGAATTTTTAAGTTGGGAAAAAATTTCTTTAACTTCTAGAGTACTTTTTAGTTCCAGGAACACTTGAGTGTTCTAATTACATCTGCTAGAGTTTTCATTATATATTTTTATTTATTTTTTTATAGGTTACACATTGTTTCATGACAGGGAAATCATATTCAAAGTTGGATACTGATTACATATATATTTCAGTGCCAATGAGTTGGCATTTTTTTAAATTTATTTTTTTCTCTTACCATTGCCCACTTGATTGAAATGAGTGTTTGAAGAATATGAAGTCAAATTAACCTCATAAAATAAAATTTAAAACCTAAAATTTAGTACATTATCAGAAGGGAACAAACAAACAGACAAACACTTCAGGACCAAATTTCATAAGTGAAGTCTTTAAAACTTTGACAGAAAAAATAATTATTTTACCACCTAAACATTTCCAGAGCACAAAGAAAGTTTCTAAATTCTTTTTATGAAATCAGAAAAATGATTCCAAAACTCAACAAAAATACTATAAGAAAGTATACAGAAAGGGGCCACACAAATATGAATGCATAATCTTATATAAAATATTTGCAAAAATGAATAAAGATAATATTAAAAGAATGGTATAACACATTCCAAGTGGCATTTATAC